ATTTCCCCTACTTTGAGCTCCATTTCTAGGTTCTTTTTATAGTAAAATCAATCAAAATCACCTCTATTTCTATAATATGTTTTCCATTCTATCAAATGAGACCAAGAAAACGAGAATACAACCATAAATACTATACGAAAATAGACCACAAACTCGGCATTTTAATTAAAAAAAACGGTCGGAGTTTTTTTCTCTCATTATGCACTGCGTGCTCCAGGATTTTTTTTATATGGTGCACACTGACCACACAGACCCATTCTCTCACATGTGGGCCTACCAGCTTTCTCCTGCTTGATTTGAAGCCGCTAGAATTTATGATACATATACGTCAAACACGGTACCTCGTAAGACGTATATATACGGCCGCGACAGTCAAAGGGTTAACTGATCAGTTTTTCAGAATTTTTTTTTTCGTGTTCACGTTCCCTCCGTATTCTGAGAATTTGACAGTAATGATCTGAGTGCGCACCAGATGCCTTTGCTGTTAATTTCACCTTATATATATATATATATATATATATATATATATATATATATATATATATATATATATATATATATATATATATATATATATATATATTATTTCCTCAGAATCCGTAGAGTGCATGAATACAGATCGATCAATCAATTCCATCCATATTGTACAATGAATTGTTCTTATAAGTCGTAATGCATTACGTTAAAAGTGATTACATTAACACCCATTACGTAAAACTCATTTTGTTAACATCCAGTATGATAGCATCCATTAGTTCTAAGTTATATATGAATTTGTTATTGTATAGAATCAGCCCAGAACCACCTGCCTGTTCAGCCTATAGCATAGTAGTGTAAGTCGTGACGACATACGTAACATGACCGAGCTGTCAGCATAGTTGCTGATCCCCTTATATGTGTTGTATAGCATATTATAGTACCATCCATGTGCTTTATATAGAAGATCCCTTAGGCCTATGACTGTATGACGTCACGGGGTACTGCTTGAGACAGTGAGATGAGCTGCCTCGCTCTCAGTCGGCGTATAGACATCCAGGCAGTGACACGGCACGCTGGGCTCATCCTTTCCTTACCACAGTCTGACAATATATATATCGTTACCATCCAACAAGTGTGTCTACCTTCAACCCTCGTTATCTCCTTAAGAACCCCTACGGCACAAAAAATTGAAGATTTACTGTCATGCAACATTGTAATAATTGTATAAATAATATCAGCACATTTGTGAATGTATATTAGACCCACCAGCTGGCGTGTATTAGACGTGTGAGGTCATTTGTTTTTTTATCTTGAACATCGGGAAAAATTTAATATTTCCGCTACTTTGAGCTCAGTTTAAAGCCATTTTCAGTACTAAAACCAATCAAAATCATCTCTATTTCTGCAATATATCTTCCATTCTATCAAATGAGACCATGAAATCACAAATACAACTATAAAAAACAAATGAAAAAACACTGCAAAGTTGCTGTTTTAATCAAAAATTATGGTCTCATTTTTTTTTTCTCTCATTATGAACTGTGCTGCAGGATTTGTTTTATGTGGTGCACACATACCACATAGATGTATTCTCTCATATCTAGGCCCAAATTTACCACTCACAGCTTATCAGAGTGAGCTGAGCTCATGACATAGATCTACGGTTTGGACCCTCAACGTAAAGCCGTAGATCTACAGCACGGACCCTCAAGGGGTTAACAGCGGCATATTATCAACCATTCTTGAAAAATGCCCTGATTTTGCCTTCTGTAAATAATAATACATAATTACTTAAACTTGTTTAAATTCAAGCAAGCTTTGATAAAATATAAGGTAATATTTTTGCATAAATAACTTATTGTGATTGTAACCTCATACAAATATATGAATGAACATTAAAATGGTATAAAATGGTATATATGAATACAGGCATACCTCACTAATGCAGTGGGTCAGATTCCATACCGCTGCCACAGAGCGAATATCGCCTTAAAGCAAATCACATCCCTTTTTTCACTTGCCAGTGCATATAAAAGTCTAAAGAATGTTTACACTATCATTTATTAAGTGTGCAGTAGCTCCAGGCCTAAAAATGAAGATGCAAAAGTAAAAATAATACAGTAGAGCCCCGCTTTACGGTGTTTCACCTTATGGCATTCTGCTAATACGGCAATTTCAAATTATGACCAAAATTTGCTATACAGCAAGTGGTCTTTCAAATACTGTGTGCCCCACCAGGTTTGTTTACATTCTTCATGAGCACAACTCTCTATTATGTCTGGAAATTTTCCAAAATTTCAAGTGTTTTAAAGTTATTGCATATTTTATGTGTACTCTGATAATTATACTTATGTGTACCTGTACCTAAATATACTTACATAATGAGAATAATGTCAAAATTCACTAGTGCTTTACATGTGATGGACAAATTCTAGTAAGGAAAACAAATGTAGGCCGTGTGTACTGTATCACAAATGAAAATGAACTGTCCAGCTTCCTTCGAGATGCAAATCTTACAGAGTCTGACTAACATCAGTGACCAAATCTTTATACTACGTTAGTGTATGTTAGTATTCCATTATTGTGGTAGTCCCTGTACTATCACTTCCCAGATAATATCTACTACCTCATTGTCTCATGTTTCTCACACAGTTGCTTGTGTGACTTAAATTTGTGTAATCATTCCAGAAATTGCCTTGTACAATTATTTACTAGTAACATAACTATTATACCTCACAGAGTGCCTTCCTAACTACCTAGTGCAGGCCAATACCCTTTATAGTGTTTACATATATTGCTCTACCTGTATTTTTAAATCCCAGATTTTACTATTTTACTACGAAGTGCATTAAACTTCTCATTGAATCTTATACCCAGCGCCTTGTACACTTTTAGCTTTAATATTAATTTTAACCCTCATTTTCATATTTATTAGTGAATAGCAGTATTTGATTCTCAGTTACTAAAACACATAAGGTGCTAATTCAGATACTTAAGTGTTATATTTTCTTTATTTTAGTTTTAAAATCAAGTCTTTGCCTCACATCTTTATAATCTACACCCAGTGCAATATTGCATCATCATAATTGTACTACAATAATTTTTAACTAACCCTATTTTTATTTTTTATTTTTTTTAATGTACCATTACTTGCTTACCATTATAAACTATTATTATAGAAAAGATAACCAGTGGAAGCTTATACTGTCAAACTTGTGCCATAATAAGAGTTAGCAATATCCCTGTGCTATATAATTACTTATTTTAATCTAATTTTAAGTTTTTGTTTCTTTATTTTCTCTTTTGAATACCATTACCTACAGACTGTTAATTTTGAGGGGCGAACGAAATCGCCTTTTTTTGGGGGGGAGGGGGGGTCAGATTTCAATGAGATTTTGACAGTGGATTAACCCCTTTGACTGTCGCAACCGCAAATCCTGAGGTGTCTCCTGGTGTCGCAAAATTTCCAAAAAAAAAAAAAAAAAAAAAATCTTATGAAATGATAATCTTTGCCTGATTGTAATGACACCAAAAGAACAAAATTTGATGGAAAACTGGCAAAATTACGCTCTCGCAAAGTTAGTGACCTCGGTGATATTTACGAATCAGCGATTTCGCCCTCTTTGAGCCCTATTTTCGGCTAATTCCATTGTTCCAGTCGACCAAACGCATAGCTATTTCTTTAGAACTCCATTTTTTCTATCGATTGAGTACAAGAAACTGCCCATTTACCGATTTCAACTACCCTATAACGTGATTTACTGTTATGCAGACTACTGTGATATTGTAATAATAGTATAAATAATGTCAACCCATTCATGACTGCAGGCCCGGTGGCCTGGTGGCTAAAGCTCCCGCTTCACACATGGAGGGCCCGGGTTCGATTCCCGGCGGGTGGAAACATTTCGACACGTTTCCTTACACCTGTTGTCCTGTTCACCTAGCAGCAAATAGGTACCTGGGTGTTAGTCGACTGGTGTGGGTCGCATCCTGGGGGACAAGATTAAGGACCCCAATGGAAATAAGTTAGACAGTCCTCGATGACGCACTGACTTTCTTGGGTTATCCTGGGTGGCTAACCCTCCGGGGATTAAAAATCCGAACGAAATCTTATCTCTTATCTTATTAGAATGGCTACTTGGACATTTATTGGAAAATGACATCATTTGTTTACTTTTGAACATTGGCAAAAATCAAACATTTCCCGTACTTTGAGCTTCATTTCAAGGTTCTTTTCATAGTAAAAGCAATCAAAATCACGTCTATTTCTATAATATGTTTTCCATTCTATTAAATGAGACCAAGAAAACAAGAATACAACCATAAATACTATACGAAAATAGACCACAAAGTCGGTATGCTGCAGGACACAGACCCATTCTCTCATATATGGGCTTATCAGCTTTCTCCTGCTTGATTTGAAGCCACTAGAATTTGAGTATATATACGTCAAAAATGGTGGCTCGTAAGACGTATATATACGACCAAAACAGTCAAAAGGATTAATGAAGTGCTCCATAACAAGGTATGCCTGTAGTTCATTACCACTGTAATTTGTTTAGTATATAGATGTGCAAGATAATTCTCACTGGAGTCCTTCCATAGATAATCAGTTTCACTCTGTTGCCTGTACAGAATATATTTATAGTTACCTAGGTAGGGCAGGTAAGATATTTGGTAAAACTGTAATTCTATCAATGTATAACACAGTAAACGTGGTCATCATACAGTATATGATACCACACTAAAAAATAAAAGGTAATTAGTTCCCATGTTTTACAATATAAGTATCATGAACACTGACTGATGATAGAAAAGAAATCATTAGCCTGAAAGATTTATTTTACCAGTGTTTTATTTTCAGTTTAAGTGGTCTCTCAATTTCCATATTTTATTAAGTTTATGATATACTGTACCCTAAACAGTGGCTATTCAATATTAATAATCTGGGTGTAAAAAATCGTGAATCAAGAGAACAGTGTAAGCTCGATGATGAGGTACTTCATTGGGAAAAGACTTACCTGAGATGGGTGCGCCCACCATGGAAGCAGATCCACGGAAGAGGATGAGCAGCCCGAAGGCATTGGTGAGCTGCGACAGTCCGAGAATTTGTACCAAGATGATGGATGAGAGGGAGATGTACGCGGCTGCAATGAAGCCCTTCTGGGGTTAGTGCTACTCTTACTACATCTACCCAAATCTTGGATTACATACCAACACTGTTACAATACAGTGGATCTTACTTCAGCCATTAGCCTCTTATGTGAAGCAGAGTGCATCTGAAAAAGCTGCTGTGAATTAAATGGTATTTTTCCTTAGATGCAATAGGCAATAATACTAAACCTGAAGTGTACCAAAAGGTGCTTCAACATTCTCTTGTTTAGAATACAGTTTATATTATCTGGGACTCATTCAGTTATCCTGTGAGTGAAGACTTCACAATGAAATCCACGTTGAGGTGCCATTGAGGAAATATAAAATGCAACAGCATTAAAGCAACACAACAGACCGAAGCTGACAACGTTGATAAGATATACACTAGGAATGCTGGTGAGCCATATTATATGTCGTGCAGAGGCTGACAGTCACTGTTACTTTTACAAAAGTTAGTCTAACTGTCAAATGTTAATGTTAAACAAAAAAAGTTCTTTAAAGTTATGAAGAGCTTCAAGATTTTTACCTTATAAATGGGTACATAATCTATGGAGGAGCATAGATACTTCTAAAACAGTGTTTTGTATGTATTAATTTTATTACAATTTAGAATAATATAAAAAAAACACTAAATAAAATTAATTCTTTAATAGGCAAATGCTGCTTTGTAATTAACTCTTTCACCAGTGAGTAAAAAATTATATGCCCCATTCCTAATATTGAATTTTGCTTTACAATGTATATCCCCTCAAGGGAGGTTCCTTGATGCTGGTGAGGGGCTCTTGATCTAGGGAACTGGATCTGTGCTCCAATTCCTTGAATTGAGCCTGAATGCCTTCCACATCCCCCTCCCCCACATGTGCTGTATAATCCTATGGGTTTATCACTCCCTCATGATTATCATAATAATTTATAATATATAAAACACTCCTACATTAACTGGCATGCTTTGTTATGAAAACAAAAATTTAAAATTTTATTTTACCTCTTTGACATAAAAATACCTGATCATTTATTTCTTAGTTTCAATCACTTATGTGCAACATACTAACTACATTATTATTTCACTAGATCTAAGGTAATTATCAATGTTTCCTAAAAATTGTATAATGCACTGTACTACTTCACTGTCCTACTAGCATTGTTTAATTAACTAAGAGCAAAACAAATATAATGAATACAGAGTACTGTATATTATTAAGTAGTTATTCCCTAATGATTGTTCCATGTCAGACAATGGTATGTATATTATTGTGCATTATGTGTATTACTGTACATGAGGCATTACGTAGAATGAAAGGGGGTAAAGCAGCTGGAACTGATGGGATCATGACAGAAATGTTAAAAGCAGGGGGGGATATAGTGTTGGAGTGGTTGGTACTTTTGTTTAATAAATGTATGAAAGAGGGGAAGGTACCTAGAGATTGGCGGAGAGCATGTATAGTCCCTTTATATAAAGGGTAAGGGGACAAAAGAGATTGTAATAATTATAGAGGAATAAGTTTATTGAGTATACCAGGAAAAGTATACGGTAGGGTTATAATTGAAAGAATTAGAGGTAAGACAGAATGTAGAATTGCGGATGAGCAAGGAGGCTTCAGAGTGGGTAGGGGATGTGTAGATCAAGTGTTTACATTGAAGCATATATGTGAACAGTATTTAGATAAAGGTAGGGAAGTTTTTATTGCATTTATGGATTTAAAAAAGGCATATGATAGAGTGGATAGAGGAGCAATGTGGCAGATGTTGCAAGTATATGGAATAGGTGGTAAGTTATTAAATGCTGTAAAGAGTTTTTATGAGGATAGTGAGGCTCAGGTTAGGTGTGTAGAAGAGAGGGAGACTACTTCCCGGTAAAAGTAGGTCTTAGACAGGGATGTGTAATGTCACCATGGTTGTTTAATATATTTATAGATGGGGTTGTAAAGGAAGTAAATGCTAGGGTGTTCGGGAGAGGGGTGGGATTAAATTTTGGGGAATCAAATTCAAAATGGGAATTGACACAGTTACTTTTTGCTGATGATACTGTGCTTATGAGAGATTCTAAAGAAAAACTGCAAAGGTTAGTGGATGAGTTTGGGAATGTGTGTAAAGGTAGAAAGTTGAAAGTGAACATAGAAAAGAGTAAGGTGATGAGGGTATCAAATGATTTAGGTAAAGAAAAATTGGATATCAAATTGGGGAGGAGGAGTATGGAAGAAGTGAATGTTTTCAGATACTTGGGAGTCGACGTGTCGCCGGATGGATTTATGAAGGATGAGGTTAATCATAGAATTGATGAGGGAAAAAAGGTGAGTGGTGCGTTGAGGTATATGTGGAGTCAAAAAACGTTATCTATGGAGGCAAAGAAGGGAATGTATGAAAGTATAGTAGTACCAACACTCTTATATGGGTGTGAAGCTTGGGTGGTAAATGCAGCAGTGAGGAGACGGTTGGAGGCAGTGGAGATGTCCTGTTTAAGGGCAATGTGTGGTGTAAATATTATGCAGAAAATTCAGAGTGTGGAAATTAGGAAAAGGTGTGGAGTTAATAAAAGTATTAGTCAGAGGGCAGAAGAGGGGTTGTCAAGGTGGTTTGGTCATTTAGAGAGAATGGATCAAAGTAGAATGACATGGAAAGCATATAAATCTATAGGGGAAGGAAGGCGGGGTAGGGGTCGTCCTTGAAAGGGTTGGAGAGAGAGGGTAAAGGAGGTTTTGTGGGCAAGGGGCTTGGACTTCCAGCAAGCGTGCGTGAGCGTGTTAGATAGGAGTGAATGGAGACGAATGGTACTTGGGACCTGACGATATGTTGGAGAGTGAGCAGGGTAATATTTAGTGAAGGAATTCAGGGAAACCGGTTATTTTCATATAGTTGGACTTGAGTCCTGGAAATGGGAAGTACAATGCCTGCACTTTAAAGGAGAGGTTTGGGATATTGGCAGTTTGGAGGGATATTTTGTGTATCTTTAAATGTGTATGCTTCTAAACTGTTGTATTCTGAGCACCTCTGCAAAAACAGCGATAATGTGTGAGTGTGGTGAAAGTGTTGAATGATGATGAAAGTATTTTCTTTTTGGGGATTTTCTTTCTTTTTTGGGTCACCCTGCGTCGGTGGGAGACGGCCGACTTGTTGAAAAAAAAAAAAAAAACCTTCAAAGAACCAATGTTGGCTTCACACATACTCGTTTAAGCAAATTACTTGATATACATAAATGTTATGTAGGTTAGATAAGGTTTGGTTAGGTTAGATTGTCATCTGTTATCAAAAATTAAGCCAATTTTAACAGACCATAATACACCAATACCATATACAACAAAAACTCTTGAAGCATGAACAGAAAATGGAGACCCACCGTGCTGACTGTAAGGTACACTATCATATTTTCATACCATTGTTTTCACATCCCAGATGTTCTTCAGCCAAAGTGAAACAATTACACTGCTTTGACATTTCTTGAATATCTGTTAAAGCAATATTAATATTTCACTTTGGATGAAGAATGTTGGATGTGTGCCACTGACATTGGAATAAAATTCTGATTTTCTAACCAAACTTTTGACTACTTCCCACATAAAGGGTAAGTAAGTAAGCAAGTTTATTTAGGTACAGGCACACATAAATACAGTTACACAAATATCACACACGGTAACAACACGGTAACAACACCACACATTGCCCTCATGTCTGAGGGCAATGTGTGGTGTGAATATAATGCAGAGAATTCGTAGTTTGGAAGTTAGGAGGAGGTGCGGGATTACCAAAACTGTTGTCCAGAGGGCTGAGGAAGGGTTGTTGAGGTGGTTTGGACATGTAGAGAGAATGGAGCGAAACAGAATGACTTCAAGAGTGTATCAGTCTGTAGTGGAAGGAAGGCGGGGTAGGGGTCGGCCTAGGAAAGGTTGGAGGGAGGGGGTAAAGGAGGTTTTGTGTGCGAGGGGCTTGGACTTCCAGCAGGCGTGCGTGAGCGTGTTTGATAGGAGTGAATGGAGACAAATGGTTTTTAATACTTGACGTGCTGTTGGAGTGTGAGCAAAGTAACATTTATGAAGGGGTTCAGGGAAACCGGCAGGCCGGACTTGAGTCCTGGAGATGGGAAGTACAGTGCCTGCACTCTGAAGGAGGGGTGTTAATGTTGCAGTTTAAAAACTGTAGTGTAAAGCACCCTTCTGGCAAGACAGTGATGGAGTGAATGACGGTGAAAGTTTTTCTTTTTCGGGCCACCCTGCCTTAGTGGGAATCGGCCAGTGTGATAATAAAAAAAAAAATAACTATGTAACTGATATTGCTTAGAAGGACGGGCTACAAATTTGGTCCCTCTGTAACTGCTAGTAAGACACATGTCCAAAAGTCTAAGCTTTAACTTGGAAATCTGGCCTAAAGACTTAAGAAGCTAACTGAATGGGCACCTTTGTTTACAGTAGAGTATATAAGTGCTATAAACAATCCTCCCCCTTTCCCTTCTTTGATGAAAGAGTTAATATTTTTACACTGTAAATTTAGTTACATTATAAATACAATTAAAACAATTTTCACATTAAAGAAATTAATATAGAATATTCAAAGCATAGTTGATACCACAATAGATAAACAATTATGGATATACAGTATGTATGGATACACAAACAAATGTACTCATGCCTATTAATTTACAAGAGTAACCTCTCTAGAGGGAAAAGAAAGATAATTATTAAGCTAAAATTCTGCTCTTCATTACTTCAAGTATTTTCATCTGATGTATAATGATATATGGAACCATGCATCTGCTATTGTTAAAAATGCACTGAAGATGTAGACTGTATTCGCTAATGATTTCCACACTGTGATGTATATCGTGCAATAGTAATGATTAGTCTGGGTAGTCAGGAACTGATGTGAATCGTTTAGTCAATTTATTTTGCATGAGTTCAAGTCGGTAACACAAAGCAGGAGAAGGAACAGTGAATAGAGAAGGGTACGAACATGAAGGACCAGCAAAAACATTACTACACCACCAATATCATCAGCCCACCAGCACCACCAGCACCACCTGTAATCACTCATTTTGTTGGTAGACCAGTCAAGGAGGAGGAGGGCAGTGTGTGGCTAAGATACCTGACACTGGTGGGCCCAAGATCCCAGCCACGCCACGGAAGATACACAGAAGACCAAAGGCATTGGTGAGCTGTCTGAGACTCAGCAGGTCCACAATGATGATGGAGGTGAGGGCGATGAACGGAGCTGGCGGAATACCACAAATATGAGGGCTGGAGGGCAACCACAACACTGGGCCCAGTCACATGTTACACATTATTGCTTTAATACACCATAAGAAATAGGATATACTGTAGATGTATGTAAACCCTCGATTTAGCAGACTAACAGGGGAGGAGTGAGGTGGCTGGCAATGATCACTGTAATGGACAAAGATGAGATTGTTTATACTGTTATCGTAACAATAATGGACAATTTTATAAACAATGGACTTCGTCTATTGTTTCTGAGTCAAATGACATGGGAAATTTAGTCCTACATTTCCAAAGCCTTTAGACAGAAGTCTGCTAAAACAAGTATTTACTGTATATAGAAATATAAGCAGTAATGCATTATAATACAGATTAACTTTAAGGTTCATTTTTCAGAAATGATCATACCAAATTTAGTGAAAAAACCCACAAGTAAAATCTGTCACAGGTATAACAGTCTTGGTTAACATGCTTGATATTATCATGAGGGGCCACAAGCAGGGAAAACACATGCAGGCAAGCACACTCACCACATGCCAACCCAATAAACAATATTCAAGTAATTCTCAATAACATTTATACTGTTTTATAACATATAAATTAGGCAAATCTTCAATATGAATGAGTAGACAGCACATGCTTAACTACCCCCTGTACTGGTACTTTTCTCCAATAACAAAATACAGCTTGTTCAGTTGCTCTGAAATCTAAGATATTTGGTAGTGATATTAAACTAAAAATAAGTAGAGAATTAATCTTCTATACTATATAATATACCACAACCTGAAACTTATTTGTCTTACACTCATTAGCCTTTTAATTATTGTAATAAATTTGGCAAATTGAGGACAACCTCTTTAATGCAATCCCAGTGATGTTAATTGGTTTTATCTACATTATCCTTTATTTTTTTAATCATTTACAATTACACTGCACAAAACCAGCACAACTTCAATGATCCAACTTCCTTGGCATGAAACAGTTTTTAAATGTGAAATTTCCAGGCCAGCGAAAACAATTATGGACTCTGTACTTATTTACTGTAATGTACAAGAACAAATTCAGGCATTGGTTGTGGATCTTATTAATGGCACTGAGCTAGAGGTTGAGAGGACATGATGAATATATTCTTGCATCACAGCAGCTGCTAGGGCACATAGGTGTTCACATTCTTCGAGATAATCGCCATCGGAGTGGGAATTTGCTTCACAGTACTGTATTAAAAACTATAGTATTTATATAAAAGTATGTAGTAAAGACTGCTGCAAGTGGTGCAACTCATCTTCCTAAGAGAGAAGGATGAGCTGTGCCAAGATATGTTAATTACAGGGTAATTAACATAATTTCTCATTAATTACAGAGTAATTAATGACTGTTGATAAAGCTACAACTGTCACTCTGCTGCAACATTGGTTTTACTGCTGCATGGATTATTAAGAGTTTTCCTAGTGTCCACCCAGGCAAGGCAACACTTCTCAATTTAGCATTTTTTGCAGTGTTCTGCTGGAACTAGTTATTTTTTTTATTTACATTAACCTTACTTAAAACAACATACGTCAAGATATCAGCTAAGGTTTTTACAGTAGAAAACCAATGTTGTGTCTACAGTAGATGAGCTGAGATGGGGTAGTGTAGCAGATAATTACATCTATCATGGCACTGTAAGGAAAAATGTTCATGATGGCAACAATGAAAGTTTATAGTCACTCCTCAAGCATAAAAACATTTTTCAGCGTCATAATGGAAACTCGTAGATAAATATTGGCAAACACAAAACACGTGCTGATAGGTAATCAATAACAGCAAAAAAGAAAGACTATCATAAATGGATACAATAAAATCGATAAAGGGGAACAAGAGGCCATAACTGAAAATTGAAAAAGCTATGCCAAAAACTGGTAGAATACTGGAAAGAAATCACAGTAGACAGAAAATGTTATGATCACTAGAAAAACTAAATAATTGTGGCAAATTAAAGTGATGATGAAACACCACAAGCATAACTCCGTGCCAGTAGCTACAAATAGATACTGCAACTGTAAATACAATAAATAATTTCTTATACAATGGGAAAAATTCTAGCATTATTGCAGAGGTAGGGATTACTGTTATATTTATGGGAAGCATTTAACTTTTAGTGGTCATATAGCACTTGAAAAATTAGAGGAAATCACAACTCATCCATGGAAAGGGAGGGAAGTTCCAATTCCTTGGAATAAGAGCCACTCGCCAGGACTCAAACCTCTTGAATGGATAAACAGAAGGCAAAAAAGTAAAAGGAAAAGTAAGGGTGAGAGGGAGGAGGGACAGGAGAGGGAAAGGAGAGAGAGAGGAGAGGGTAATACACCAAGGTTATATTGATTTTAAAGCTAGGCAACAAATAATGGTGAATTTGTATATTTATGCCAATATATAATGTATCATGCTAAGTCTGGGTGATACATTTAAGTAATTCATGTTTAAGAATTTGGGAATGTGTTAGTATGTTTACCTCAATCACTAAGACAGTTTTACAGTTTTCAAGTAATATTATAATTAAGGATACTATATGCTGCTTTTTAAGTGCAGTATATTTCTACTGTACACTATTCATAAATTACAAAACAATATTTTTTAGTTAGTAATACCCCAAACTTTAGAACATTTCATGCACTCACTGGGTAAAACAAAATTTTCTATTTAGTTTTTTTTTTTTAAAGGTGACTAACTCATGGGGATCACAACACTGGGGAAATGTAAGTAATCATGTTTGATTCAAGGAAGAATATCAGTTCAATTCCTTGGAACAAGAGCTCTTCACCAGCATCAAGTATTTCCCCTAAAGGGTCATCTAGTTAAAAATAACATCAAACAAAAGGTAAGCTAATATAATTTGACAAGTGCTACTGAGAGTCAGTATATCTATGACTGCATGCAATAAGTAAAGTCAGGCACTTTCTAGCTTCCTAGAATTTAACTAAACTACTAGTTGATGAGACAGCAGTATATCATCAAAAGAGAATAATGCATTGCTTTACAATGCATATATCTACGGTTATTCTCTTGATCACAGACAATTTTGGTAACTGTATGCTACTTTAACAAAATTGAGAATTTTTTTAATTATGACAAATGGACACTTAAACTATAAAATAATGCATTAGATATTTATACTCTGAACAGGAATAATTCTTGTTAATTATATATGACACATGTTATTCTGAAGCTACCAAGTAGTTTACAACAATGTTTATGCAATTTACAGACTGTATACAGGTACAATATTACCAAAACCTCTGCATATGCACTATGATGAACATTTAGATGCTAGTATAACTGATGCATCTATGATTGGAAATCATTTTAAAACATAACAAAACATAGTTTACTTACACACAAACAGTCCAAAGAACAACGAGAGTGCAACGAAGGATCCATAAGAGCTGGCAAAGGGTGTTAAGAAGACACACACACCCGAAAGGATGATGCAAATGTTGTTGATCCAGAGAGGACTGACATTAGGCAAGTCAGCAATACATCCTGTAATGATCCTCCCAATTGTGTTGGTGATACCAATGAGGGAGATCAAGAATGTCGCATGCTCTGGAGCAATGCCCTAGAAAGGAGATGCTCTCTTTTATTAAGACTTAATAATGCTTCTGCATTCTAAAAAAGACAATAACGTATTAAAGAAATAGAAGTGTATACACATTATTCGTAATATTTATTACACAAACAGTGACAGTACAATCATACCCCAGCTTTACATCATTTCGGCCTACGTCAAATTTGCCTTTACACCACTTAATTTCAGTTCACCGAACATTCATTACATCCGACTTTACATCACTCAGCAACATCACCTACATCATAATTTTTTGTGTTTATCATTCCTTAAAAAATTTTGACTAAAATGTGTTTTTAGTGTTAAGGTTTAGAAATAGTAATTTTTTTTATTATTATCACACTGGCCGATTCCCACTAAGGCAGGGTGGCCCGAAAAAGAAAAACTTTCACCATCATTCACTCCATCACTGTCTTGCCAGAAGGGTGCTTTACACTACAGTTTTTAAACTGCAACATTAACACCCCTCCTTCAGAGTGCAGGCACTGTACTTCCCATCTCCAGGACTCAAGTCCGGCCTGCCGGTTTCCCTGAACCCCTTCATAAATGTTACTTTGCTCACACTCCAACAGCACGTCAAGTATTACAAACCATTTGTCTCCATTCACTCCTATCAAACACGCTCAAGCATGCCTGCTGGAAGTCCAAGCCCCTTGCACACAAAACCTCCTTTACCCCCTCCCTCCAACCTTTCCTAGGCCGACCCCTACCCCGCCTTCCTTCCACTACAGACTGATACACTCTTGAAGTCACTCTGTTTCACTCCATTCTCTCTACATGTCCGAACCACCTCAACAACCCTTCCTCAGCCCTCTGGACAACAGTTTTGGTAATCCAGCACCTCCTCCTAACTTCAAAACTATGAATTCTCTGCATTATATTCACACCACACATTGCCCTCAGACATGACATCTCCACTGCCTCCAGCCTTCTCCTCGCTGCAACATTCATCACCCATGCTTCATACCCATATAAGAGCGTTGGTAAAACTATACTCTCACACATTCCCTTCTTTGCCTCCAAGGACGAAGTTCTTTGTCTCCAAAGACTCCTAAGTGCACCACTCACCCTTTTCCCCTCATCAATTCTATGATTCACCTCATCTTTCATAGACCCATCCGCTGACACGTCCACTCCCAAATATCTGAATACATTCACCTCCTCCATACTCTCTCCCTCTAATCTGATATCCAATCTTTCATCACCTAATCTTTTTATCCTCATAACCTTACTCTTTCCTGTATTCACTTTCAATTTTCTTCTTTTGCACACCCTACCAAATTCATCCACCAATCTCTGCAACTTCTCTTCAGAATCTCCCAAGAGCATAGTGTCATCAGCAAAGAGCAACTGTGACAACTCCCACTTTATGTGTGATTCTTTATCTTTTAACTCCACGCCTCTTGCCAAGACCCTCGCATTTACTTCTCTTACAACCCCATCTTTTTTTTATTATCACACTGGCCGATTCCCACCAAGGCAGGGTGGCCCGAAAAAGAAAAACTTTCACCATCATTCACTCCATCACTGTCTTGCCAGAAGGGTGCTTTACACTACAGTTTTTAAACTGCAACATTAACACCCCTCCTTCAGAGTGCAGGCACTGTACTTCCCATCTCCAGGACTCACGCCCGGCCTGCCGGTTTCCCTGAACCCCTTCATAAATGTTACTTTGCTCACACTCCAACAGCACGTCAAGTATTAAAAACTATTTGTCTCCATTCACTCCTATCAAACATGCTCACGTATGCCTGCTGGAAGTCCAAGCCCCTCGCACACAAAACCTCCTTTACCCCCTCCCTCCAACCTTTCCTAGGCCGACACCTACCCCGCCTTCCTTCCACTACAGACTGATACACTCTTGAAGTCACTCTGTTTCGCTCCATTCTCTCTACATGTCCGAACCACCTCAACAACCCTTCCTCAGCCCTCTGGACAACAGTTTTGGTAATCCAGCACCTCCTCCTAACTTCCAAACTATGAATTCTCTGCATTATATTCACACCACACATTGCCCTCAGACATGACATCTCCACTGCCTCCAGCCTTCTCCTCGCCATCTATAAATATATTAAACAACCATGGTGACATCACACATCCTTGTCTAAGGCCTACTTTTACTGGGAAATAATTTCCCTCTTTCCTACATACTCTAACTTGAGCCTCACTATCCTCATAAAAACTCTTCACTGCTTTCAGTAACCTACCTCCTACACCATACACCTGCAACATCTGCCACATTGCCCCCCTATCCACCCTGTCATATGCCTTTTCCAAATCCATAAATGCCACAAAGACCTCTTTAGCCTTATCTAAATACTGTTCACTTACATGTTTCACTGTAAACACCTGGTCCACATACCCCCTACCTTTCCTAAAGCCTCCTTGTTCATCTGCTATCCTATTCTCCATCTTACTCTTAATTATTTCAATATTAACTCTACCATACACTTTACCACGTATACTCAACAGACTTATCCCCCTATAATTTTTGCACTCCCCTTTGTCCCCTTTGCCTTTATACAAAGGAACTATGCATGCTCTCTGCCAATCCCTAGGTACCTTACCCTCTTTCATACATTTATTAAATAATTGCACCAAGCACTCCAAAACTATATCCCCACCTGCTTTTAACATTTCTATCTTCATCCCATCAATCCCGGCTGCCTTACCCCCTTTCATTTTACCTACTGCCTCACGAACTTCCCCACACTCACAACTGGCTCTTCCTCACTCCTACAAGATGTTATTCCTCCTTGCCCTATACACGAAATCACAGTTTCCCTATCTTCATCAATATTCAACAATTCCTCAAAATATTCCCTCCATCTTCCCAATACCTCTAACTCTCCATTTAATAATTCTCCTCTCCTATTTTTAACTGACAAATCCATTTATTCTCTAGGCTTCCTTAACTTGTTAATCTCACTCCAAAACTTTTTCTTATTTTCAACAAAATTTGTTGATAACATCTCACCCACTCTCTCATTTGCTCTCTTTTTACATTGCTTCACCACTCTCTTAACCTCTCTCTTTTTCTCCATATACTCTTCCCTCCTTGCATCACTTCTACTTTGTAAAAACTTCTCATATGCTAACTTTTTCTCCTTTACTACTCTCTTCACATCATCATTCCACTAATCGCTCCTCTTCCCTCCCACACCCACTTTCCTGTAACCACAAACTTCTGCTGAACACTCTAACACTACATTTTTAAACCTACCCCATACCTCTTCGACCCCATTGCCTATGCTCTCATTAGCCCATCTATCCTCCAATAGCTGTTTATATCTTACCCTAACTGCCTCCTCTTTTAGTTTATAAACCTTCACCTCTGTCTTCCCTGATGCTTCTATTCTCCTTGTATCCCATCTACCTTTTACTCTCAGTGTAGCTACAACTAGAAAGTGATCTGATATATCTGTGGCCCCTCTATAAACATGTACATCCTGAAGTCTACTCAACAGTCTTTTATCTACCAATACATAATCCAACAAACTACTGTCATTTCGCCCTACATCATATCTTGTATACTTATTTATCCTCTTTTTCTTAAAATATGTATTACCTATAACTAAACCCCTTTCTATACAAAGTTCAATCAAAGGGCTCCCATTATCATTTACACCTGGCACCCCAAACTTACCTACCACACCCTCTCTAAAAGTTTCTCCTACTTTAGTATTCAGGTCTCCTACCACAATAGTAATATTCTTTCTTAAGTTATTTACACTAGTTTTATGGTCTGTCATCATTTTAAGGCAGTTTTAAGGCATGTGCAGTTTATGTCAAAAACCAGGTTATATCACAGCTCTTGGAATCAATTAATGACATACGCCAGAGTATGACTGTAGTACTTCCTTTAGCATTCCTCACGGCACCTTTCTAATTCTACCTCTGTTATCCTCTCCACTCCTGGCTCCTCTCTGCTCCAGCAACACCCCCTGCCCTGCAGTGTTGTATGGCCTTAGTGGGTTTAGTGCTTGGCTTTGATAATAATAATAATAATAATTCATAATATTTGTATTTTAAGAGAAGAAAGCAATGTTAACCCTCTGAGTGGCCATCATGTTACTGATGTCAGGGTCACTCAAGTAGATCTACACTGTGATCACAACTCCCTCAGATAAGCTGTGAGCAGTCAATTTTGGCCTAGATATGAGAGAATGGGTCTGTGCAGAGAGTGTGCACAGTATAAAAAAAAATCCTTCCCAATGTAGTGCATGATGGCAAAAGCAAAACTCCGATCTTGTGTTTTTAAAACAGCGATTTTTAAGGTGTTTTTTAGGAACCTTGTTGTTTTATTGGTTATTTCTTTGTATTATTTGATACAATGGAAGATATATTAGTGATTTTCCTGAGGATGGGTAAGGCCCTCATACATCCTCCAGCCTGCGTTATAGATTTTTAAGTCTGACTCAATTATTGGGATGCTGTAAACCATGATCAATCATTCCTGGTTATTTTTTATCTCAGAAATAGGGTAAATCTTCAATTTTTTTGTATGATTATGAATTTAAAATGGAAGGCAAGTGTAATATAGGAGAGGCCCAGGGATGTGATCAATGAACAGAGAAAATGTTATTTTAGTGTCTGGAATGTCTACAATGTTTATTTTGTACTCTATTTTTAAATTAATTTTTTTTTTATTTTATGTAAAACTGGCCAAATTAGCAACTTCCGTGCACTTTATACAGTAGCTGTAATAGATGAATGGGTAATTTCTTGTGCTCAAGTGACACAACTAAAGGCAAATGGAGTAATGGAATTGACTTTAAACAGGACTCAAAGTTGGCAGAATCACCAATGTGTAAATTGCACCCCGACCAGTGACCTTGCACCTGTATAACTCCGTAAGTTTTCCATCAAATTTCATACTTATGGTGTCATTACCTTTAAAAAAGATTCTCTCCATTTCAAAAAAAATTTTTTTTTAAGGGGAACCCCTGGAAGTAATATTTAATTTTTAGGGGTGTTGGGCAAAAAGGGAAAGTTAAATATCAAAAAGTACTTTTGGGAAACAACAATGGTCTTATACTCTTCTCCCCGCTGAACAGTTTTTGACACTGCTTTAAACCCATATAAATCCCGTTTTAAAAAAATTTTCTTGCCTGAATTTTTCCCGATACTTAAATACCATATGGGTTTAGCCCAAGATTTTTTTCAAAGCAGTGCCCTTTAAACCCAAACCAACCCCTAATTTTTTGGGTTAAAAGGGGAATTTTTCTTAGAACCACAATAAAAGCTTCGCCCTCATCCAAAAAACCAAAAAAAATTTTATTTCCCTTTTCAAAAGGAAACAATGTTGATTAATTAAATTTTTTTAAAAAATTGTTAATTTAAAAAAAAAGCCATTAACATGCCGGGCAAATTTTAGGGAGATTAAACTAATGCCCTTTCACACTGCGCCTCTCCTCACTTAGGACGTGCCGTTCACAAAATGAAAAATTAACTTACAGTGGGGTCCCGACCAAACATGCAAACCTCAGTAATGTATATTAAGAAACTATAACCTCATTTTTGTTTTAAATTTCAATATAAAAGTACACCTGTAAAAAAATTTAAAAAAAAATACCAGAAAAGTTTAAAAATGGGGCCAAAAGGGGAAAAATTTAAAAAAAAAAAGAAAGATTTTTAAATTTAAAGTTGGGAGAATTACTGACAATTTTTTTTTTTTTCCCAAAAAGTCGGCCGTCTTTCCCCCCGAGGCAAAAGGGGACCCAAAAAAAAGAAAAAATCCCCAAAAAAGAAAAAAACTTTCATCAACATTCCCAAAACTTTCATCACACTCACAAAATTATCGCTGCTTTTGGGAAAAGGGGGCTCAGAAAAACCCCAAAAATTTTGAAGCATATAAAGTTTAAAGATACACAACAAATCCCCCCAAAAGCCAAATATCCCCAAAACCCCCCCTTTAAAGGGCAGGGATTGTACTTCCCATTTTTGGAACCAAGGGCCGACATATAAAATAACCGTTTCCCCCGAAACCCTTTACAAAATTTTACCCGCACACACTCCAACAGATCGTTCCCCGGGCCCCCAATTTTCTTCCCCCCATTCCCCTCCTACCCAACAAGCTCATGCACTTTTTTTCTGGGAAGGCCCAAGCCCTTGCCCAAAAAACCCCTTTACCCCCCTTTTTTCCAACCCTTTCGGGACGCCCCCCCTACCCCCCCTTCCTTCCCAAAAATTTAAGCTTTCCCATGTCATTCTACTTTGACCATTCCTCTAAATGCCCAAAACCACCCAACAACCCCCTTCTGCCCTCTGACTAAGCTTTTTTTAAACTCCACCCCTTTCTAATTCCCACACTCCAATTTTCTGCAAAATATTACACCACACTTTGCCCTTAGACAGGCATCCCCACTGCTTCCAACCGTCTCCTCGCGCGCATTTACCCCCCAAGTTTCCACCAAAAAAAAAAGTTGGTAACATATTTTCATACTTTCCCCTTCTTTGCCTCCATAGAAACGTTTTTTGACTCCACAATACCCAACGCACCACTCACCTTTTTTTTCCCCCTCACAATTCTAGATTAACCTATCCTTCATAAACCCATCCGCCGACCCCAAACTCCCAAGTATCTAAAACATTCACTTTTTTCCATACCCTCCTCCCCCAATTTTATATCCAATTTTTCTTATCTAAATCATTTTTATACCCTCCTCACCTTTCTCTTTTCTATGTTCACTTTCAACTTTCTACCTTTACACACACTCAAACTCATCCACTAACCTTTTCAATTTTTCTTAAATCCCCATAACACAGTATCAAAAACAAAAAAATAACTGTTTCAGTTCCCCTTTTTTAATTGATTCCCCATAATTTAACCCACCCCTCTCCCAACACCCAGCATTTTCTTCTTTTACAACCCCATCTTAAATATATTAAACAACCATGGGACATTACACATCCCTGCTAAGACCCACTTTTACCGGGAAATTTCCCTCTCTTCTACTACCCTAACCGAGCCTCACTATCCCATAAAAGCTCTTTACAGCATTTAGTAACTTACCACCTAAACCATAAACTTGCCCACAACATCTGCCACATTGCACTCTATCCACCTCTAACATATGCCTTTATTCTAAAGCTATAAATGCAATAAAAACTCCCTACCTTAACTAAATACTTTTCACATATTTGCTTCAATGTAAACACTTTATCTAACACATCCCCTAACCCACTCTGAAAGCCTCCCTGCACATCCGCAATCCTACATTCGTCTTACCTCTAATTCTTTCAATTATTAACCCTAAACCGTATACTTTCCTGGTATACACAGTAATCATATATCTCCTCTATAATTTTAACAATCTTCATTTGTCCCCTTTCCCCTTTATATAAAGGGACTATACATGCTCTCCGCCAATCCTTAAGTACCTTCCCATCTTTCATACTTTATTAAAACATAAGTACCAACCACTCTCTACACTATATCCCCCCCTGCTTTTAACGTTTTCTGTCATGATCACCAGCAGTTCCACTGCTTTACCCCCTTTTCATTTCTACGTAAATGCTCTCACGTACCTCCACCACACTACATCTGCTCTTCTTCACTCTAAAAAGATGTTATACCTCCCTGGCCAGTGCAGTGAAATTACTGCCTCCCTTTCTTCCTCAACATTATAAGTTCCTCAAAATATTCTCGCCATCTACCTAATACCATCCCTCTCCCCATCACTAACTACCCTACTCTGTTTAACTGACAATCCATACTTTCCCTTAGGCTTTTCTTAACTTGTTTAAAACTCTCTCCAAAAATTTTTTTCTTATTTTCATTAAAATTTCTTGACAGTGCCTCCTCCCACTCTTACATATCTGCTCTCCTTTAGCACTCCTCTCACCACTCCTCTTCACTTTTCTTTTACTCTCCATATACTCTGCTCTCTTAAACACTTCCTTGCTTTGTAAAAAACTCTCGTAGGCACCTTTTTCTCTCTTTTATCACACCCTTTACTTTTTTTCCAAATCATTCCACCAATCACTCCTCTTTCCTCCTGCCCCCACCCTGATATAACCACTAAACTTCTGCCCCACATTCTAATACTGCATTTTTAAAACTATTCCAACCCTCTTCAACCACCCACTACTCATCTTTGGCACTAGCCCACCTATCTGCCAATAAGTCGCCTTATATCTCGCCCGAACTTCCTCCTCCCTAGTTTATATACTTTTAACCACCCTCTTACTTGTTTTGCCACCTTCTCTGTTCTTCCCATCTACCTATTACTTACTCTAACTGTAGCTACAACTAAATAATGATCTGATAAACAGTTGCCTCTCTAAAAGACATGTACAACCAGGAGCCTACCCATCAACTCTTTTTTCCACCAATACATAATTTAACAACTACTTTCATTATGTGCTACATCATACCTTGATATTTATTTATCCTTCTTTTTCAATAAATATGTATTACTTTATACCAAATTTCCCTTTCTACACATAGCACAATTAAAGGCTTCCCCATTTGCATTTACCCCTGGCACCGCCAAATTTAACCTACTACTCCCTCATAACATTTTTTACCCACTTTAGCATTGAAATCCCCAACCGCCATTACTCTAACACTTGATTCAAAACTCCCCACGCATTCAATCAACAATTCCCAAGAATCTACTCTTCTCTCCTCTACACTTCTCCCTTCTCCAGGTGCATACACACTTACTATAACCGCACTTTTCACACCAATCTTTATTTAACTCCACATAATCCTTGAATATATCATTTGTATTCCCTCATTTCCAGCCGGACAGCTTACCTTCAACATTATTGCTACTCCTTCTTTTAGCTCTAACTCTATTTGAAACACTCTGACCTAAAAATTCCCATTTATTTCCTCTCCGCATTGAAACTCTCCCACCCCCTCAGCTTTGTTTCACTTAAAGCCAGGACATCCAGTTTCTTCTCATTCATAACATCCACAATCATCTCTTTCTTAACATTTTGCACAACATCCACCGCACATCAGGACTTCCCCACTTTGACAATTTTCTTCTCTATTCTTTTTAGTAATCTTTACATGAAAAGGTTACTAGACATTTCCCCGGCATTTTAGTATTTGACTTTCACAACACGCATGGCTTTACGTATGAAAGATTCTTATCCACTTCCCCATGGATATAAAAGGAAAAGAATAATACCAAGAACTATTAAAATAAAATCAAAGAAAACTCAAGATGAGTGTGTATAAAAAAACGTGTTACATGTAATTGTTTTGTGACCTAAGTGTATAGTAGAAGTAGCAAGACATGCCAGTAAATCTTGCGATAATTATAGACAGACAAAAGACACCAGCAAACCTACAATCAGTAAAACATTACAGGCTTTCGTTTTACACTCACATTGCAGGACGGTAGTACCCCCAGGTTTTTGCTGTCTACCAACAACAACCAACTACTACTGACAATATGTTGGGATAAAAGGCACATGTGCAAACTAATGTGACATTTTATAGTGGCAACATTTCACTCGCCAGAAGCTCAGTCAACTGTAAAAACACAATAAAATGTACACATTAGTTCACTTGTGTCCGTTTTACCCAATACGAAGAATGGTTCACAACAAACCCACTACCATCTGACAGTATGCCCCTCACTTAGTCGACAATTCGTTTACTGAAAAGGTCTTAGAAACGTAACTCTGTCGTTAAGTGAGGAGAGCCCAGTACTTAAAACTAGACATGGGTTATATAGGCCAAATAACCTCCAATGCAGTTCAACTGTTAATTGACCCAACTATACAGGTCATGAATTTTTAAGTTCTCACTTTTTGTTTGACAATTGCACCGTATGGATTTCAGTATATGGGGATAACATTCCTATGTGGTTCATACAGAAACTTAACACAGAATACATCATAAATAAGTAGAATGTTCATCAGAATCTAACACAGAATTCATCATTGTTAAGTATAAAAGTGTATATCTGCAGTTGGTTTAATAAACCAAGGGATTCCTACCTCCCTAAATCACTGTCCCTGCCTTCTCTAGTCATCCTCCGTCCTTTGGCTCACCTGTGATATTATTACTTACTTAATAATCCTGTGACTGGGAGGCTACCAGATAGTGTGTACACATCACACTGTGAAGTCACTAGTAGTGTACTCACCTCACACCTGCAGGGTCAACAGTAGTATGCTCACCTTTGCAACTGTGGGTTTAGCAGTGGTCATGCCCACCTCACATCTGTATGTTTAGCAGGGTGTACTTTGCATCAGTCAATGATGTGAACAATAGTAGTGGCTCACCTAACAGTCACGATGGTACATGGTGTGCGCTTCACCTCACAGTTATAATGTTAGATCAGTGAGTTCACCTCACATTCATGAGGTTAGCAGTGGTGTGCCACCTCCACAGTGATGATGTAGCAGTGTAAAATTTTCACCTCACAGTCATTGAGGTTAGCATTAGTGTGTCACCTCTTAACCATGGGATCCCCTATGGTGTATCACCTCATAACTGATGGTCACCAGTAGTCTGCTCCCATCACATGGGGTTTCACCAGTTTGTTTTCTCCACTGGTCAATTTCCTCTCGCCATTTCCTACAATCATGATACCTAAACAGTGTCAATTGTATTAAATATTTAATGAACCAAGCATAATTCTTTGTACAGTAAATTAGTAAAAACCAAGTTTTACCTTTCCTTGGCTGCATCAGGCAGGAAACGAAGGTGTGGTATAGAAAACCCAGCATACCAAAGAGATTAGCTACGCCAAATCAAGAGAAGATGGGTTCTTGAGCAAGAGAAGTCCATCAACTGAGAGAGGGGTTTCCCTTATGATTCAGGAAGGCAGTCCAGCTTTCTGTGGGGAAAAAAAAAATATAGTATGTTACCAGTATGTGTCATAATTTGGAAAATGCATGCTTTATCATTACATGTAACAAAAATCATTTATTATTAGTAAATTTTCCCACCTCAGTAAGGGGTAAAAAAAAGAGGGGCAATATCCAAGCATAATTATTAGTTTGTGTTCACAATAGTTGTTATGCACCACATAGGACTGGAGGTAAAGAATCATAAAGAAATTAATTACAGAATCACACACATTTGTAAAATATCCACACAAGTCAATTTGAACGTCATAGGGCCCCCACTTACAGTGTTTTGCTAATCAGTGGCTTTCAATTACAGTGGAAACCTTGGTTTTCGTGATTAATCCGTTCTAAAAAGTTTGATGAAAACTGATATTGTACGAAAATTGAAGCAATATTTCCCATAAGAAGTAATGTAAATCCAATTAAATCCAATTCCAGTCACCCAAAAAATTAAAAAAAATACATTTTATAGAGAATAAACTATAGTTTTTACATACAGAAAACAATGAGAAATAAATATAAATGACGAATGAGATGGATAAATGAACATTTAACATCACTTTTACCTTTACTGAAGACTCTTGTTGGCGTATGGAAGACAGTGAGGAGGGGAGTGAGGAGAGAGAAGGAGGTTACTGTTTGGAAGGGGAATCCCCTTCCATAACGACTTCAGGTTATCAAGGCCCTATCTGGGGTTACTTCCCTTCTTTGTCTTTTACTGGCACTAGGACCAGCTTGAGAGTGACTGTACCCCTGTAGCACAAAAAATCCGTCCAGAGAGGTCTGTTTCTGGCGTCTCTTTAAGATTTGCCTAAAATGGGACACGGCATTGTCATCGAACATGTTGCAGACATGGCTTGCAACAGCTTTGTTAGGGTGATATTTCTCCACAAAACTTGGCAACTCACTCCACTTTGTACACATGTCCTTAATCACTTAAGAAGGCACATTCTCCTCTCTCTCTTCCTCCTCCTCTATTAATTTATTTTATTTTATTTATTTTATGTCTTTGGAAACAGTACATTGAGATTTTATATTTACAATGGTGGGTTGCAATGCAAAGAGAGCCTCTATTATGCCTAAAGCAATTTCCTCAGCTGAAGTCTTTTGCTGTTCCAGTTGAAGGTCTTGCAGCTCTTCAGCGGTTAGCTCTTCCCAGTGGTTGTCCACCAATTCTTTCGTATCCTGGCCATTCACATCCAACCCCATGGACTTCCCCAAAGACACAATATTCTATCGTGTTTCTCGCCTTCTTTATCAAAGGGCTGGCATTCAGAACTTTTTTTGGCCTCATGGTAGCTTATTTAGCAGTCGCACTCTATAAACAAGCACAAAAGACAATGGATTATTACAAAATGTTTCAGATGAATGCGGGGAGTGATGCCCACTCAACGTGAAACAAAGGCAGACTTAGTCACAAATGCATGGGATGTTTTGTGTGGGCGCTTGAGTGGCCAATTCACGTGGACGTGTTTGGTATGGACAATTTTCAACTCTATGAAAACCGAGCGGATGTACAAAAGCTGGGACAAAATTTTAACAAAAAAAGTCGTCGAAAACCGAATCCTACAAAAACTGGGGCATATGAAAACAGAGGTTGCACTGTATATCCATTCTTTATTTATTCAGGTTTCTTGCAATAAATATATTCGCCACTCACTATAAGCTGAGGATGAAAATATTTTAACCCCTTGACTGTTGCAACCCCAGATCCTGAAGTGTCTCCTGGTGTCGCAAAATTTCTGAAAAAAAAAAAAAAAATTTCTCATGAAATGATACAGAATCTTTTCCCGATTGTAACGACACCAAAAGAACGAAATTTGATGGAAAATTGATGGAATTACGCTCTTGCGAGGTTAGCGACATCGGCAATATTTACGCCCACTTTGAGCCCTATTTTCAGCTAATTCCATTGTTTCAGTCAACCAAACTCATAGCTATTTCTTTAGACCTCCATTTGTTCTATCGATTGAGTACAGGCAACTGCCCATTTACCGATTTCAACTACCCAATAACGTGATCAGAAATTTGAAATTTAGCCAATCTTACGAAAATTAAAAAATATGACAATTTCAAAATAGGGTCCAGAATGAACAATGCAGACATTCCTGGCTATAAAATAATACAGTGGACCCCCGGTTAACGATATTTTTTCATTCCAGAAGTATGTTCAGGTGCCAGTACTGACCGAATTTGTTCCCATAAGGAATATTGTGAAGTAGATTAGTCCATTTCAGACCCCCAAACATACACGTACAAACGCACTTACATATTTGGTCGCATTGTGAGGTGATCGTTAAGCGGGGGTCCACTGTATTTTCTTTGTTTATCAGTCATGTCTCCAGGCCCCTCTGATATTACTCTTGCTTCTATTTTTAATTTTTATTCAAACAAAAAGTAGAAGATTTACTGTTATGCAGACTACTGCAATATTTTAATAATTGTATAAAAATGTCAACCCATTCATGACTGCATATTAGAATGGCTACTTGGACAGTGACTGGAAAATGACATCATTTGTTTACTTTTGAACATCGGCAAAAATCAAACCTTACCCCTACTTTGAGCTCCATTTCAAGGTTCTTTCATAGTAAAACCAATCAAAATCACCTCTATTTCTATAATATGTTTTCTGAAATAACTATACGAAAATAGACCACAAAGTCGGCATTTTAATAAAAAAAAACGGTAGGAGTTTTTTTTTCTCATTATGCGCTGCGTGCTGCAGGACTTTTTTTATATGGTGCACACTGACCACACAGACACATTCTATCACATGTGGGCCTACCAGCTTTCTCCTGCTTGATTTGAAGCCGCTAGAATTATTGAGTATATATACGTCTGAAACACTGGCTCGTAAGACGTACATATACAGCCAAAACAGTCAAAGGGTTAAGATAAGTAATGTGTTTACTGTATATGCATTTTTTAGGCTTAGCTTTATTGCTCACTTAATATATGATGGTGCAAACATGCTATCAGGCTTCTATATGCATTTGAAAGTAAAAAAAAAAGGCTATGTTTTACTTACAGGGTTTTTTGCTTTACAGCAGTAGCCTGAAACCTAACCTGCTGTATATCATATACTGCAAATTAATATCATGTGGATTAATTATACCAATTAACATTCATGCTTTCTCCCTTGGAAAAAGACACAAAATACCATCACTTTGACATGCTTTATGTAGGCATTCTGTCTACCTTTACCTTTGATATACCTTTGAAGGATTTCGAGAGTATATCTACTCTCTGAGCCCGGCCATGGGCCAGGCTCGTCTAGTGCTTGCCTGATCAACCAGGCTGTTGCTGCTGGAGGCCCGCTGCCCCACATATCCATCATAGCCTGGTTGATCTGGCACCTGGTGAAGATACTTGTCTAGTTTCCTCTTGAAGGCTTCAACACTTGTTCCAGCAGTGTTCCTGATATCTTCTGGTAAGATGTTGAAAAGTCTGGGACCCCGGATGTTGATACAGTGTTCCCTTATTGTCCCCACTGCATCCCTGCTCCTCACTGGGTTTATTTTACACTTCCTCCCATATATCTCACTCCAGTATGTTGTTATGGCAGTGTGCAGATTTGGGACCAAGCCCTCTAGTACCTTCCAGGTATATATTATCATGTACCTCTCTCTCCTCTGCTCCAATGAGTACATGTTCAAGACCTGCAGGCGTTCCCAGTAGTTTAGGCACTTTACTTGCTCAATGTGAGCCATAAATGATCTCTGTATTTGTTCCAGCTCCGATATTTCTCCTGAACTGTCTCCATCAACTATTTGTCATTACCATATACATGTACAGTATACCTTTATATTCATTTTTTTTAATCCTAACTGACTGCATTAATCATTTTAGTTAGAACATCTTAGGTATTGTGTACATTCTGACTCCACTGTCTTGCTCATTCACCAGTCTTCCTAGCTTTTCTCTCTTCCTCATCTTTCTTTCTCCTCCTCCTCTTCCCTTTTGCTCCTCTTGGTCTTTTTTCTCCCTCTTCTCTTACTCCTGCTCCTCCTACTGTTTCTGCTTCCCTTAAACTCACAATATGTGGTTTATAGCATTTTTTTGAGATGTTTTGTCTCTGGTGGATGATATATCTCAATAAAATGCCATAAATAACATAGTGTATCTTACTCATACACTTTTTTTCTTTTTTACACACATCAATTTTACAGGCTAAGAGCTATCTTACCTCAGCTCATTTCAAAGTCCAGCCTTAACTAAGATATACTACCACCCCATAGCCAACTGGTGTGGGTCACATCCTAATACCCAGGTACCTACTAACTTCTAAGTGACAGCAGGTGTAAAGAAACATGCCCAACATTTCTACCCTTACTGAGGATCAAACCCTGGACACTCACTGTGTGAGCTGAGTGTACTACCAAACGAGCCATGAGGCACTTGTTTATATGTTCTACCACTGATATACATATTGTACCATTTTTACCAGTAGGTGTCAGACAACCTGAAATTGGAGCTACTTTTCCCTTCCTGATTATCTCCCATTTCTCAAAATATGACTCTTGTGAGTTTGGTGCTTTGCCAAGAAGAAAATAAAAGTAATACCTATAACAATAATAATAATAATAATAATGATAATAATTAATAATAATAATATGAAGAAGAAGAATGATACATGTTTGTACAAAGGAGTGTGACATTTGGGTGTACATACTGAAAGCCCCTTTATATGCAGAGCATTTTGGGCAAACTTAAGTCTAATTTAAGATTAATAAGGCAATAACAATATGAGTAATTTTGTACATATGGTCACTTAGGTGAGTGTAATTTTAAACAGAGTAGTTTACAATGAATACAAGAGAACTGAATTTTCTATTATTTTTTTATTATTTTTTATCATCACACTGGCCGATTCCCACCAAGGCAGGGTGGCCAGAAAAAGAAAAACTTTCACCATCATTCACTCCATCACTGTCTTGCCAGAAGGGTGCTTTACACTACAGTTTTTAAACTGCAACATTAACACCCCTCCTTCAGAGTGCAGGCACTGTACTTCCCATCTCCAGGACTCAAGTCCGGCCTGCCGGTTTCCCTGAACCCCTTCATAAATGTTACCTTGCTCACACTCCAACAGCACGTCAAGTATTAAAAACCATTTGTCTCCATTCACTCCTATCAAACACACTCACGCATGCCATGCTATATGATTTGAATAAGGATGATAGAGAGGAATTACAAGCTTGATCATTAACCTAAAGCAAACACAATGGATTGATTAATGTTTGAGAGGATTACAGATATTGAGAGTAAACATATATTGATTATAATGTTTTATCCATGTTCATAATATTGAGCAAATGCATGTATAGTTTTTACATATTTATGATGGGCTAGGATACCCTAGAGAGAGAAGGTGTTTTTTAACGATAGTTTTGAAAAAGTTAGCCGAATCAGTAGTTCTGAAAATTTCTGGCAGAGTTCCAGATTTTGGGCCCTTTTATGTACACTGAATTTTTTAAGAGATTTACCCAGACATGGGGAATGTCATAGCGATATTTGTGCCTAGTATTATGCCTATGGGTCCTGTTGAAACTGCCAAGAAAGCACTTCAGGCTGGGATTTATAGTATTAGAATTTATTGTTCTGTAAATGTAGGTTGCACAGTAGTACAAGTGAATGTTTTTGTATAGTGAGTAGGTTTAGGTCTTTGAAGAATAGGGGTGTGTGTTGTCTAGCAGTGGATTGTGTGATCATTTGCACGAGCTTTCTGTTGGGTTATTATTGGCTTTAGGTGATAATACAGTTGAACCTCAATATTCATACCTCCCTATATTTGTACAACTCGATATTCGCCCAACTTTTCTGAGAAAAATTTGACTCAGTATTTGAACATTGCCCTGATATTTGACCTAAACTAAACGGTCCATTTGGATGAAGTTTGACGAAAACAAAGTATCATGCGCTCAGTCCCTCGTCAGATTTCATTCGTTAAGCATTGTTTGTACAAGCTCCGTGAAACTTTTTGGTATTTCATTGTTATTTTCTGGTATTTTTTAAATATTTTCATTGAAAATAAATAATCTTGGTCCCGAAAAAGAGTAATGATCCAAACAAACCTAAAAGGAATGCAGTGAGAACAACAACTAAAGTGAAAAACGAACTCACTGCAAAGTGGGAAAGTGGAACACATGTCGGACCTGGCCACTCATATGGCACAGTAAAATCCACCACATCATCCATATTGAAAAATAAAGAGGCAATAAAAGGGGCTGATGTGGCAAAAGGAGTGAAAATTCTTGTTGTGAAAAGGTTACAGATAAGTGAAGAATTGGAAAAACTTTTGTCAGTGTGGATTAACAAAAAAACAACTGGCCAGTGACAGTGTTTCTGAAATAACCATTTGTGAAAAAGCAAAACAGTTATATAGTGATCTTAGGCGAGACACCCCGAGAAAGTGCTGAAAGTGCTAAATTTAAGGCAAGGAGGGGCTGGTTTGATAGCTTTAACCTACTGACTGTCGAGACCCCAAATCCTGAAGTGTCTCTCTGTGCCACAAAATATTTCAAAATTCTTATGATAATCTTTTCCCGATGATAATGACACCAAAATTACAAAATTTGATGGAAAACATATGGAATTATGCTCTCGTGAAGTTGGTGATCTCAGCGATTTTGCCCACTTTGAGCCTTATTAGTCACGTCTCCAGGCCCCTCTTATATTACTCTTGCTTTCTATTTTGAATTTTTATTCACACAAAAAATAGATTTACTGTTATGCAGACTACTGCATTATTGTAATAATTGTATAATTGGACACTTATTGGACGGTAACGTTATTTGTTTACTTTTGAACACTGGCAAAAATCAAACATTTCCACTACTTTGAGCTCAATTTCAAGATCCTTTTCATCGTGAAACCAATCAAAATCATCTCTATTTTTGTAATATGTCTTCCATTCTATGAAATGAGACCAAGAAAATGAGAATACAACCATAAATACTGTATGAAAATACACCTCAAAGTCGGTGTCTTAATCCAAAAACATGGTTGGAGTTTTTTTTCTCTTTATGCACTGCATACTGCACACACTGACCACGCAGACCCATTCTCTCACATGTGCTTGATTTGAATCCGCTAGAATTTTGGCGTATTAATATGTCAGGAGGGGTGTTAATGTTGCAGTTTAAAAACTGTAGTGTAAAACACCCTTCTGGCAAGACAGTGATGGAGTGAATGATGATGAAAGTTTTTCTTTTTCGGGCCACCCTGCCTTGGTGGGAATCGGCCAGTGTGTTAATATATAATAATAAAATAATACGTCACCGACAATGGCTTGTAAGACGTACATATACGACACCGACAGTCAAAGGGTTAAAAAGATGAGTGGGATTCAAAATGTAGTAAGGCATGGAGAGGCTGCCAGTGCTAACAGAGATGAGGCTGAAAAGTTTGTTAAGGAATTTAAAACCTATATAGAGATTGAGGGATTTATTCCTCAACAGGTTTTTAATTGTGATGAAACCAGCCTCTTTTGGAAAAGAATGCCTAAGAGAACCTGCATCACACAAGAAGAAAAATCATTACTAGTGGGGACTGCAAAATTAAACCGTTGCTAGTCTATCACTCTGAAAATCCAAGGGTGTCTAAGAAAAACAGATAAAAAGTAAACTCAGTGTAATGTGGAGGGCTAATAATAAAGTTTAGGTAACAAGTCAGTTCTTCATTGAGTGGATACATGAAGCATTTTCCCCAAGTGTGAAGTCAGTACCTTGCAGAAGAAATTACCATTAAGGGCCCTTCAAGTAATGGACAATGCTCCTGCTCACCCTCCAGGCTTGGAGGAAAATTTAGTGAATTAATCCAGCTTCATTAAAGTGAAGATCTTGCCCTCCTCCCCTAAAACCACCATCCTTATCCAACTCATGGACCAGCAGGTAATTTCCCATTTTAAGAAACTTTACACAAAAGCACTGCTGAAAAGGTGCTTTAAAGTGACCTCTGAAAGAGAGCTTACCCTTAGTGTTTAAGGGTAATAGACAAAGCCTGGGGGAAAGTTTCTTTCAGGACAATGAGCTCTGCCTGGAAGAAATTATGGCTAGCCTGTGTCAGTCAGAGATTTTGAAGGCTTAGAGGTAGAGCCTGTAGTGAAGGTTACTGTTTCTCTGGACCAGTCCATGGGTTTAGAAATGGACGATGAGAATGTAGAGGAATTGGTGGAGGATCACAATAATGAGCCCACCACAAGGAGCAGTGAGAAGAAGCAGTTGAGAAAGTTTCTTCTTAAGAGGAGGGAAGCAGTAAGGGCAACATTTCTAATGCAGAAATTAAAAAACTGTTACCACTGGGCTTAAACACAGGGCCTGGTGGAAAAATGGTATTCTAACATTACTGTTGTGAACAGAAGCATCAACCTGTTCAATGACAGTGTTGTTGACTACTTTAGAAAAAAAATTGAAAACTCATCAAAAGCAGACAACACTGGACAGCTTCTTTAGTAAAGAAAAAAAATCAAATGCTAGTGAATCCCCATCATCTTCAAGTGCTACTGCACAGAGACAGTAAAGAGAAAAAACACTCGACGGAGCAGTTACCTGATGTTTTTATGGAAGATGACACCCTTTCCAAACAATAACATCTCTCTACCTTCCTCTGAGGCCACCAGCAGTTCTCAGTAAAGGTAAAGTGCAATTAAATTTTCATTTATTTCATGTATTTATTGTTTTTATAGCTTTCATGTATGATTTTATGCATGCACATGTTATTCTACAGGTTTAAATAAGCAATATTTTCACTTAATATGTTTTATAACTGGTAATTTTTGGGGGTCTGGAACGAATTAATCCAACTTACATTATTTCTTACAGTAAAAATTCATTCAATATTCGTACAACTGCTATCTGAACAGCCTCCTAGAATGGATTAAGTTTGAATATTAAGGTACCACTGTAATAATAATAAGTGTTCTATAATCCACTATTTTTTCAGAATGCTTTACAGGACAATTATTACCATTAGATAAATAAGCACCAAAGAAAGACTTACCTTTTTCATCTAGTGGTTCATCAAGAGCATCAAGAACAACCCTGGAAGCACCGGTTCCCTGCAGGTTGAGGGCAGATTCACGGTATGATAACATTGATGCCTGTGACTTGAACTCCCGTAAATTAGCAATACTGCCCGAGTAAAAGATATCCTGACGAGACATTGGTCGAAGCATCATGGACTTCTGGAATGTGCAAGAAACAGTATTAGAAATAGTTCCTAAAATAAATGATTAAAATGTATAAACATTTAAATTCTTATAATAATGGTATTCAGGGATTCAGAGAAACTGGTTAACTGAACTTGAGTCCTGGAGGTGGGAAGTACAATGCCTGCACTTTGAAAGAGGGGTGGGGATATTTGAAGGTTTGAACTGTAGTATCAGCACCCCTTTGGCAAGACAGTGATGGAGTGAGTGATGGTGAAAGTGTTTCTTTCTTTTTTGAGTCGCCCTGCCTTGGCAGGAGACAGCCAGTGTGTTAAAAAAAATAATGGTATACAATACTGGCTAGTAGATGATGAGATGCTTGTGCAACAGTTGGATATGTTTATTGTGGAAGTGTGTTTGCCTGCTCTACAAGCTTCTTTAGTCACATATAGAGGTGTGACAAATATTTGCACCTCTGTATTTGACTGATGAATACTGCAGAGCAAGTGAAGTGTTTAACAATAAAGATATCCAACTGTTGCACATATGTCCTACTCACCCAAATAAATTCTTATTGTAAGAGTTAACACTAACATAGAAGATTTACTTTATTTTTAAATAACACATTGGCCATTTCTTACTGAGGCAGGGTGACCCTGCAAAAATAAAAGGAAACACTGTCATCATCATTCACCCCATCACTGTCTTGCCAGAGGCATGCCTACAATGGTTAAAAAAACTGCAACATATCTCCACCCCTCCTTTAGAGTGCAGGTACTGTACTTCCCACCTCCAGGACTAATGTCCAGCTAACTAGTTTTCCTGAATCCCTTCATTAATGTTGCTTTGCTCACACTCCAACAGCAAGTCAAGTCATAAAAACCATTTGCCTCCACTCACTCGTAACATACTCACACACACTTGCAGGAAGTCTAAGCCCCTCATGTACAAAACCTCCTTTACCCCCTCCCTCCAACCTTTCCTAGGATGACCCCTACCCCACCTTCCTTTCACCACAGATTTATATGCTCTCCAAGTCATTCTATTTTGTTCCATCCTTTCTAAATGTCCAAACCACCTCAACAACCCCTCTTCTGTCCTCTGGATAATGCTTTTAGAAACCCCATACCTCCTAATCTCCTACGGATTCTCTGCATAATACTCATGCCACGCATTGCCTTTAGATACGACATCTCCACTGCCTCTAGTCATCTTCTTGTTGCAACATTCACCACCTATGCTTCACACTCATATAAGAGCATTAGTATCACTATACTCTCATACATTCCCCTCTTTGCTTTCATGGATAACATTCTTTGTCTCTACAGATTCCTCAGTGCACCATTAGCCTTTTCCCCTCCCTCATCAATTCTATGGTTAACCCCATCTTTCATAGACCCATCTGCTGACAAGTCTACTCACTTCCTCCATACTCCCTCCTTCTAATCTGATATCCAATCTTTCATTACCTAAATTTTTTGTTATCTTCATCATCTCAGCAGGAGATGCGACATTTCCCCAATGAAAAGCAGGGAGCACCATAAGCACACTAAGAGACAACACAATAAGCATCAGGGGCCCAAGATTGTTCAGACCCCTGGTTGTCTTCAAGAAGGTGCTGGACAGGCACCTAAAGTCAGTACCTAATCAGCCAGGCTGTGGTTCATAGGCTGATTCACGTGCAGCCAGCAGTAATAGCCTGGTTGATCAAACCCTAATCCACCACAAGGCCTGGTCTGAGACTGGGCCATGGGGGTACTGACCCCCAAAACCCTCTCTAGGTATACTCCAGGTATACCTTGCTTTTTCCTATGTTCACTTTTAATTTCCTTCTTTTATATACCCTTCCAAGCTCATCCACCAACCTCTGCAACTTCTCTCAAGAATCTCCCAAAAACAGAAAGCAACTGTGACAACTCCCACTTTATGCTAGATTATTCATCTCTTAATCTCGTCCTACTTTGCCCATAAAGAATTACATTACATAACAAGACGTGATATTAATTTTCTTTACATCCCATAAGAAAAAAAATGATCATCTTTCATGTCTTAAGATGGTAAAATGGGACTTAGGTTCAGAGGTCAAAATGAACATTAGGAAAAAGTTTGGTTTCAGAACAAATAAAAGGACAAACATTGCAGACACAAAATTGCTAGAAATACAGTTAGTTATATTTGTTGTTACCAGCAGATTTAACTTCCCCACTCATTATGTACCTAGAATATAATAATAATACTTTATTTCTACAAGTACATGTACAAGGTATATAGGCCTAGCTGACATTAATGACATATGTATGTAGAAAGCCCCTTGTTATGCAGAGCATTTTGGGCAAATTAGGTCAATTTTGTCCCCTGGATGTGACCCACACCAGTTGACTAATATCCAGGTACCCATTATACTGATGGGTGAACATGGACAGCAGGTGTCTTAAGGAAACATGTCCTAATGTTTTCCAGCCGTACTGGGGATTCGATTTCCAGACCTAGGTGTGTGAGCCGAGGAAAATGAAGAAGAGAAGAAGGAAGACAAAGAAGAGGAAGTGGACCATACCCCCGGCCGGGATTGAACCCGCGGTCATAGAGTCTCAAAACTCCAGCCCGTCGCGTTAGGGCTGGAGTTTTGAGACTCTATGACCGCGGGTTCAATCCCGGCTGGGGGTATGGTTTGTTTGCAATCGTGTCATTACGATTTCTTGAGTCAAGAGGAAGTGGATGAGTAAGAGGAATGAGGAAGAGAAGGAGGGAGGCATGAGGAAAAGGAGGAGGAGGAGGAGTAGAAACAGGAGGAAGGAGGAGGAGGAGGAGGAGGAGAATGAGGAAGTGGAGGAGGGAGGAAGAGAGGAAAGCAAAGAGGAAAAAGAGGAAGAGGATGATGAGAGGAATGAGTTAGAGGAGGATGAATAATAGGGAAGAATGAAGATGATGAGGAAGGAGGAAGAAGGTAGAAGTAAGAGGAGGCAGAAAAGGAAGCATGAGGAAGAGGAGAAAGATAAGGATAAACAGGAGAGAGGAATAAGGAGAGGAAGAAGAGGAAAGTAAGAGGAAGGAGGAATGAGAACAAGGGGGAGGATTAGGAGGAAGAAATGAGGAAAAGGAAGAGCAAAAAATAGGAGGAAGAGGGAAGAGATGGTGGGGGCAAATGAGGAAAGCAGAGGAGAAGCAGACAATATCACTACAACATTAAATCCAACAACTAACAGATAAACTTTAACACCGGACGTCATTGTCCCATCAAATCTATCCTTTATCTACAAGGCTTGTCTTTTGGTCACTGTATGATCCTTATGGGTTTAGCATTTAGTTGTGATTTAATAATTTTTTTGTCTTCTAGTGACTTTTTTTCACTTTCTTTTTCTTTCTTCCCACATTCACACTACCTCCCTGTCTTCCCTTCCCTGAGTTCCACAGCTCAGCAGCAGTATATTTAGTTTACAACTGAGGGACCCAGGTTTGACTCCAGAGCACGTGGATACACTGTGCTTGTTTCTTGTGTAACAACTTTAACCAAGTACTTACTGCTGAAGAACGTCTCTGGCGTATTCCACTCTCAGGATCAATAAACGAGTTGTTAGAATTTACTCGGCCATAACCTCCAGACATACGACGCATCTCTTGAGAGCCTAGAGCACGTAAATTTGTTGATGATGCTTTGGGAGTAGCAGGAACCACCTGATGTAGGATAGGCAAAAATTCTGCTTAATAAACACTAATATTAATTACTGACCATTCAGCATGATGAAGATGACAATAACATATGAATGTACTGCATGTATTATATTGTTATATAGTGATAAAAGGGGGCAATGTAATAAAAATTTAAAAGAAATTAGTTCAAAATAGAACTTTTTTTTTTTTTAACAAGCCATCCATATGCATCCAAGGCAAGGTGACCTAAAAAGAAAAACAAAAGCTTTTCTTTTCAAATTTAGTAATTTATACAGAAAAAAAGGTGATGAGGGTATCAAACGATTTAGATAAAGAAAAACTGGATATCACATTGGAGATAGGGAGTATGGAAGAAATAAATGTTTTCAGATATTTGAGAGTTGACTTGTGAGTAGATGAGTTTATGAAGGATGAGGCTAACCACAGAACTGATGAAGGAAAAAAGGTGAGTGGTGTGTTGAGGTATCTGTGGAAACAAAAAAAACGTTATCCATGGAGGCAAAGAAGGGAATGTACGAAAGTATAGTTTCAAATTCAAATTCAAATTCAAAGTTTATTCTCTATAAAGATTACAATGTTGAATTTACAGAATTTGGTTGTTGTGTGGTTTACATGTAGTTAAATAATGATTACAGAGTGTACCACTAGAACGCCTAGCATGGCTAGGCATTTCGGGCAGACTTAGTTTAATTCTTTATTTTAAAATATTACAAATTATGAGGTAAGTTGGTATTATGGCTAAGTGACTAAATACTAGTTTGTGAGTTTAGCAATGTGAATGCTTTTGTTTTGGCACAGTATATAGTTTCAGTATTGGAGTATCATAGGATTCATTATTTTAAGATTGAGATTAATATTTCTGTTTATGGCCAAATGGGCGAGTGAGTGTAAGTGTGAACCACCAGGTGGTATTCGTGTAGTTAGTTGATGGGGTGTATCAGGGAGACAAGATGTTTTCTAATGGTAGTTTTGAATGTGATGAATGTGTCTGCAGTTCTAGAGTTCTCAGGTAGGGTGTTCCAGATTTTAGGGCCTTTGACATACATTGAATTTTTGTAAAGGTTTAGTCGGACACGGGGAATGTCGTAGAGATGTTTGTGTCTGGTGTTATGCCTGTGGGTTCTGTCACAACTATCAAGAAAGCATTTTAGGTCAAGGTTGGTATTGGAGTTTAAGGTTCTGTAGATGTAGATTGCACAGTAATAAGTGTGGATGTACTGAACAGGGAGTAAGTTTAGATCTATGAAGAGTGGGGGGGTGTGTTGCCAGGGATGGGATTTAGTGATTATTCTTACTGCAGCTTTTTGTTGGGTTATTATTGGCTTAGGTGTGTTGCTGCAGTTGATCCCCAAGCACAAATAGCATAGGTGAGGTATGGATAAATAAGTGAGTGGTATAGTGTGAGAAGGGCATAGTGGTACCAATACTTTTATATGGGTGTGAAGCTTGGGTTGCAAATGCTGCAGGGAGGAGGCAGCTGGAGGCAGTGGAGATGTCCTGCCCAATGGTGTAAATATTATGCCGAGAATTCGGAGTGTGGAAATTAGGAGGAGGTGTGGAGTTAATAAAAGTATTAGTCAGAGGGCTGAAGAGGGGTTGTTGAGGTGGATTGGTTATTTAGAGAGAATGGATAAAAGTAGAATGACTTGGAGAGCGTATAAATCTGTAAGGGAAGGAAGGCAGGGTAGGGGTTGTCCTCGAAAAGGTTGGAGGGAGGGGGTAAAGGAGGTTTTGTGGGAGAAGGGCTTGGACTTCCAGCAATCAAACTTTGTTACTATTTAACTTCATTACCTAACAGAATACTCCATTCTACTGATTACATAGCAACACAGTAAATGACCATATGGCCTGTCTTTGTAATACTCATTTGTACTAAATTGTTATCTGTTTTACAATAATTTTTGTACCACTGAATATATCATTGCTTAGTTAATCTTAAGTTAATTTTAAGCCTGCCCGTAATGCTCTGCATACAAGGGGCTTTGGCATACCTGGAGGTTACCTGGAGGTTATTCCGGGGATCAACGCCCCCGCGGCCCGGTCCACGACCAGGCCTCCCGATGGATCAGGGCCTGATCAACTAGGCTGTTACTGCTGGCCGCACGCAGTCCGACGTACGAGCCACAGCCCGGCTGATCCGGCACTGACTTTAGGTATCTGTCCAGCTCTCTCTTGAAGGCAGCCAGGGGTTTATTGGCAATTCCCCTAATGCTTGATGGGAGGCTGTTGAACAGTTTTGGGCCCCGGACACTTATGGTGTTTTCTCTTAGTGTACCAATGGCGCCCCTACTTTTTATTGGCGGCATTTTGCATCGCCTGCCCAGTCTTTTACTTTCGTAGGGAGTGATTTCTGTGTGCAGATTTGGGACCATTCCTTCCAAGATTTTCCAAGTGTAAGATTATGATATATCTCTCCCTCCTGCGTTCCAACGAGTACAAGTCAAGTGCTTTCAAGCGTTCCCAGTAGTTAAGTGCATGCTGCACTTTAAAAATTGTATTCCTTGTACTTTTCTGTATCATGTTCAAATTAATAAATAAATAAATAAATAAATAAAGCATGTGTGAGAATGTTAGATAGGAGTGGAGACGAATGGTTTATGGGACCTGATGAGCTGTTGGAGTGTGAGCAGGGTAATATTTTGTGAAGGAATTCAGGGAAACCGGTTAGCCAGACTCAAGTCCTGGAAATGGGAAGTACAATGGCTGCACTTTAAAGGAGGGGTTTGGGATATTGGCAGTTTGGAGGCTCACTTTTAAACTGTCGTATCTGAGCACCTCTGCAAAGACAGTGATTATGTATGAGTGAGGTGAAAGTGTTGAATGATGATGAAAGTATTTTCTTTTGGGGGATTTTCTTTCTTTTTGGGTCACTCTGCCTTGGTGGGAGATGACTGATGTGTTGAAAAAAAAAAAGATTAATTTTTATTCAATAAATACAGAATATTTCTAACTGGTTTCAAAATATTATCGACAATTTATGTTATAAGATAGATGAGACCCCATAGGTCTTACTGAAATTGTTAAAAAAAACTGGAATCATTGGAAAAAGCCCTTTTAGACTGGCTTTCACACTTTTACTGTTGGTTGCCTTTATTAAAGCAAAAGTTACTCACTATGAGTTGTGTAACTTTTAAATTAATAATTTTATTAAGTAAATTGTTTCCCATGGAATAATTAGAGAATGCCTCTTCCGATTGGCTTCAAACCTTAAATGCTGGTGTACCTTAATTGGAAGTATACAGTGGAACCTCAGCTTATGAGTTTAATCCATTCCTTGACCTTGCTCATATCCTGATCTGCTCGTATGCTGAGTCAACTTTCCTCATTTAACTTACTAATTGAAGTACCATTAATCTGTTCCAGCAGAATTCCTGCTCTGGGAGGCAGGACAAAAATACTTCTATATGACATCAACTCTACGGCTTATTTATCTATCACAATTCATCTAATATGGCGTAATAAACAATACAAATAACATAGAAACCTGATATATACTCTAGAATGAATAAAATATGCCATTATGTGACAAGTGGTGGTGACCATTCCCTACCTCAAGTGGCTGCCTTGTTGAGGGTCAGTAGGGGAGACCTCCTGCCATCCCCTGCCCTCCCACACTCCCGACTCCACCATCCTAGCTTCGTGAATACTGTATGTGCTCAGTTCCACTTCTCTCCTACAAGTTAGCTGTGTTTGTGAATTGTGTTTTCATCATGACACCCAACAGGCATACCAGTGTTGCTTACTGAATGACTTACTGACTTGACTGACTTGACTTATAGACTTAACTGACTGAATGACTTACTGACTTGACTAACTTACTGACTTAACTGACTGACTTACTGGCTGGACTTACTGACTTAACTGACTGAATGACCTGACTGACTGACTGACTGACTTACTTAACTGACTAACTGAATGACTTGACTAACTGAATTACTTGACTGACTGACTGAATGACTTGACTGACTTACTGAGTGACTTAAAGTTAGACTTTTTCACTGAAGAGGACTCTGAAATGGTGTCTAGAGCAGCTGATGCCTTACCGTCAGTTGTATAATGTACTGCAGGGTAATACACAAATAACCTGCACATAGAAGAGAGGAGCTTACGACGACATTTTGGTTTGACTTGGACCATTAAAATAGAACAGGGTAAAATAGAACAGAAATCCATTACAGAATTTCTGCACACTCCAGTACAACCATCGACTTCAGTACCAGAACCTCTACCATCCACCTCAGCCCAGTAGGACCAGAGCATAACTCTCCACTCTCTTCACAATCGACAAACACCAGCACCCACAATTTAAGGTAAGAAATACTATTATTTCTTTTGCAATTATAGTCTTAAGCAGTAAAAACAACATAATACATCACGACAATGAACTACAATTATATATTCACTTTTATATTTGTAAAATCTGGAGGTCTAAAAAAAAAGTTGTTTGAGGGGGAAGCTCACATCCTGAATTTCTGCTCGTATCCAGTAACAAAAAATCGACTGAGCGACTGCTCGTATCCTGAAAAATTCGTATGGTGGGGCACTCATAGCTGAGGCTCCACTGTATTTGTGTTGATTTTAGGCTGTGTGTGTGTGTGTGTGCGTGTGTGTGTGAGTTAGTAGATGGGGAGATGGAGGTATTAGGTAGATGGCGAGAATATTTTGAGGAACTTTTAAATGTTAAGGAAGAAACAGAGGCAGTAATTTCATGCACTGGTCAGGGAGGTATACCATCTTTTAGGAGTGAAGAAGAGCAGAATGTAAGTGTGGGGGAGGTACGTGAGGCATTACGTAAAATGAAAGGGGGTAAAGCAGCTGGAACTGATGGGGTCATGACAGAAATGTTAAAAGCAGGGGGGGATATAGTGTTGGAGTGGTTGGTACTTTTGTTTAATAAATGTATGAAAGAGGGGAAGGTACCTAGGGATTGGCAGAGAGCATGTATAGTCCCTTTATATAAAGGGAAAGGGGACAAAAGAGACTGTAAAAATTATAGAGGAATAAGTTTACTGAGTATATCAGGAAAAGTGTACGGTAGGGTTATAATTGAAAGAATTAGAGGTAAGACAGAATGTAGGATTGCGGATGAGCAAGGAGGTTTCAGAGTGGGTAGGGGATGTGTAGATCAAGTGTTTACATTGAAGCATATATGTGAACAGTATTTAGATAAAAGTAGGGAAGTTTTTATTGCATTTATGGATTTAGAAAAGGCATATGATAGAGTGGATAGAGGAGCAATGTGGCAGATGTTGCAAGTATATGGAATAGGTGGTAAGTTATTAAATGCTGTAAAGAGTTTTTATGAGGATAGTGAGGCTCAGGTTAGGGTGTGTAGAAGAGAGGGAGACTACTTCCCGGTTAAAAGTAGGTCTTAGACAGGGATGTGTAATGTCACCATGGTTGTTTAATATATTTATAGATGGGGTTGTAAAGGAAGTAAATGCTAGGGTGTTCGGGAGAGGGGTGGGATTAAATTTTGGGGAATCAAATTCAAAATGGGAATTGACACAGTTACTTTTTGCTGATGATACTGTGCTTATGGGAGATTCTAAAGAAAAATTGCAAAGGTTAGTGGATGAGTTTGGGAATGTGTGTAAAGGTAGAAAGTTGAAAGTGAACATAGAAAAGAGTAAGGTGATGAGGGTGTCAAATGATTTAGATAAAGAAAAATTGGATATCAAATTGGGGAGGAGGAGTATGGAAGAAGTAAATGTTTTCAGATACTTGGGAGTTGACGTGTTGGCGGATGGATTTATGAAGGAAGAAGTTAATCATAGAATTGATGAGGGGAAAAAAGGTGAGTGGTGCGTTGTGGTATATGTGGAGTCAAAAAAACGTTATCTATGGAGGCAAAGAAGGGAATGTATGAAAGTATAGTAGTACCAACACTCTTATATGGGTGTGAAGCTTGGGTGGTAAATGCAGCAGAGAGGAGATGGTTGGAGGCAGTGGAGACGTCCTGTCTAAGGGCAATGTGTGGTGTAAATATTATGCAGAAAATTCGGAGTGTGGAAATTAGGAAAAGGTGTGGAGTTAATAAAAGTATTAGTCAGAGGGCAGAAGAGGGGTTGTTGAGGTGGTTTGGTCATTTAGAGAGAATGGATCAAAGTAGAATGACATGGAAAGCATATAAATCTATAGGGGAAGGAAGGAGGGGTAGGGGTCATCCTCGAAAGGGTTGGAGAGAGGGGGTAAAGGAGGTTTTGTGGGCAAGGGGCTTGGACTTTCAGCAAGCGTGCATGAGCGTGTTAAGTAGGAGTGAATGGAGACGAATGATACTTGGGACCTGACAATCTGTTGGAGTGTGAGCAGGGTAATATTTAGTGAAGGGATTCAGGGAAACCGGTTATTTTCATATAGTCGGACTTGAGTCCTGGAAATGGGAAGTACAATGCCTGCACTTTAAAGGAGGGGTTTGGGATATTGGCAGTTTGGAGGGATATGTTGTGTATCTTTATACGTATATGCTTCTAAACTGTTGTATTCTGAGCACCTCTGCAAAAGCAGTGATAATGTGTGAGTGTGGTGAAAGTGTTGAATGATGATGAAAGTATTTTCTTTTTGGGGATTTTCTTTCTTTTTTGGGTCACCCTGCCTCAGTGGGAGACAGCCGACTTGTCGAAAAAAAAAAAAAAATTATCAAACAGGTATTTGTTTAAAAATCAAATATTTTTTCTTACAGGATTTGTAGAGAATTATAAATCAAATGTAAATGAGAAAAGAATACTGACAAAAATCAAAATTAGTGTTTTTATGGCATTTTTTATTTTAGTTGGAGAGGTTTTCCTATTTTTGAAACCTTAGCAGCAATATTTGTGGTTACTCTCTCACAATTTTACTGTTATTACTCATGAACTGCCCTACTTGATTGGCTTAAAATTGTCAGCACTGGTGTAATGTATGTTGGGCAAGATTACTGAGACTATTTGTATGCTTGGGTACCTTATGGACAATGTTACATAGACCATTCCAAAATCTGGTTTCCATCTGACAACTGGAGATTTAGACTGCCTTCAGATTTTCAACACTGGTGTATCCTACTTAGAAGAAGGTTGGTATATTTAATGTAGTGTGTAGATGCCATTTTGTCACTTTTAATCTTGAAATAGTAAAGTATTTTTTACATTATTGCATTATTTTGCTTTGATGATGGTGAGGGGGTTCTTGATCCAAGGAACTGGACGTATCTTCCCCTTTCGGGGAGTGAATTTGAATGCCTCCCATTTTACAGGCAATATATGACCCCTATGAGTTAAGTGCTCCACCCTGATTAAAATATAACAATTGTGACTAGCATCAACCTTCAATGGCAGATGTATCGAATGAAACAGATGAAATGTTACATGGGTTTAGGCTGTGTAGGCACAAATTTTGCTGGATTCCAAGCAATAATTGGAAAATGCATCTTCTTAAAGTCAGTTCAAGTTGCAGGCAATGTTATCAATGTAGTGAAGAGGGCACAAGGAGCAGGAAACAGTAAACACCTGAAATATTGGTTGGCAGAAGAAGTATGAAACAATGTTTCAAAATGTATTAGTCTGAGATAATGCAGGTTCAATATCAAGAGAGTAGTTTAATTATCTTACTGAAGTTTGTAGGAAGATGACCTATAACTCTTGGTAGAGATCATTTCGTCAACATATGAGTGGTAAATAAGCTGAATGAACTGGACAATGACACAGTGTAAGTAGACTCAATATGGTTAGAAGTTAACAGGCATGACCAAGAGCTAGAGCTCATTTCTCCCCCCCTCTCTGCTTCCTGCAAACTCAAATAGCTAATAGCTCTTCAAATATGATTTAATAAATGAAGCCAAAACAATATAAAACAGAAAGTAAAATATAACAGAGCACTGCAAAATATTTTCCCTATTCAGTACATACAAATTCAAGTTTTCTTATTCTGGTAAAGTTTTTTGCTCATATTGTATTTTATTAATAATGTATTGAACATCTGTCATGATACAGCTGTGAAAACTGTTACACATCAAAACAGTGAACTACTTACCTTCATATGACTAGCATACTCCACTCTTGAATATCTCCTTTCAAAGTTAGGGACAGATCCATTTTTAGGAATCAAGCCAGAAGCACCATGAGCCATAACAGGTTGGGAACAGTTACGTGGCATCTTTATAGGAGCAGATGGAACAGGAACTCGAGGTGATATGACTGGTGCCACAACTGTAGTACCCTCTGTCCCTTTGACCAAACTTTGCTTTTCATCTCCACCTGAAGATTATTACAGTACAAATGTCAATCATCTTCTTTCAACAAATCTGTTGCATCCCACCAAAGCAGGGTGGCCCAAAAAGAAAAACAAAAGTCTCTTTTTTTAACTTTAGTAATGTATACAGAAGGGGTTACTAGCCCCTTGTTCTCAGCATTTTAGTTGCCTCTTACGACAAGAATGGCTTATGGAGGAAGATTTCTGTTCCGCTTCCCCATGGAGGACAAATGTAAATGTGGTAAAAATAATACAATGTGTTTCCAATACTTGAAGGCAATGTACCCTTATACATTTTAAAGTTACTAAGGCATTAAACCAGGTGTGAAAGACTAAGACATCGTCATTGGATATTTATTGTAGAGCAAATCAATGTTTATGTGATAAATCCATCACTATTATCAGGAATTATTTTGACATACGTACAACATAATAATATACGTACATTATTATGTGATAATGGAGATGGACAATATTATACGTTATTATATGTTTCAGAATATGATTCATGAAGATGGAGATATCACCGAAATATTGATTTACTCTCCAACAAGTTTCTGACGAAGATGTCCCAATCTTTCCCACCTGCCAAAATTATAATTCTTTAAACTTAGTCATCTTTAACTATGGCAGATGTTATGCTACTCCTAAGATGCAAATCCAGCTACAATATCGGGAATCCCTGGCTTATGAAAACCTGATTTATAATGATCAATCAATCAATTTATTTCCACATGATACACTGAATAAAATTGGATGACATTACATCTCTCACATGGAAAGTCCCTTAATCATGCAGAGCATTTTTGGCAAGCTTAAACCTAACTTACATCTAGAAGGATTTTATACTATTTTACATATACAGTGGACCCTCGACTTACAATATTATTTCATTTCAGACGTCTGTTCGGGTGCCGTTACCGATTGAATCTGTTCCCATAAGGAATATTGTGAAATAGATTAGTCCGTTTCAGACCCCCAAAAATTCACGTACAAAAGCACTTACAAAAATACACTTACATAACTGGTTGAGTTGGGAGCTGATCGTTAGTCGAGGGTCCACTGTGCATGTGTATCTTTCATCTTTCAACACACCGGCCGTATCCCACCGAGGCAGGGTGGCCCAAAAGGAAAAACGAAAGTGTCTCCTTTTACATTTAGTAATATATACAGGAGAAGGGGTTACTAGCCCCTTGCCCCCGGCATTTTAGCTGCCTCTTACAACACGCATGGCTTATGGAGGAAGAATTCTGTTCCACTTCCCACGGAGATAAGAGGAAATAAACAAGAACTAGAAAGAAAATAGCAGAAAACCCAGAGGGGTGTGTATATATATGCTTGTACATGTATGTGTAGTGTGACCTAAGTGTAAGTAGAAGTAGCAAGATGTACCTGTAATCTTGCATATTTATGAGACAGACAAAAGACACCAGCAATCCTACCATCAAGTAAAACAATTACAGGCTTTCGTTTCACACTCACTTAGCAGGACGGTAGTACTTCCCTGGATGGTTGCTGTCTACCAACCTACTACCTACACATATATGTATATAAGACAATAATGATTTTCACAATAAAATAAATTACATGAATATTCAACAAATGAAATTATAACAAGTCACATGGGAATAAGAACACTCAGATTGTATGAGAATATAGTGGCACCAACACTCATATATTTATTTATTTATTTATTTATTTAATAATTTGAACATACAGAGGTACAAAAAAATACAGGTAAGAGCAGCATGCCAAAGCCACTTAAATGCATAGCATTATGGGCAGGCTTAAAATTAACTTAAGATTAACTAAGCAATGATGTAATCAGTGATAAAACATTATTGTAAACAGATAACAATAAAGCACAAATGAGTATTACAAAGACAGGTCATATGGTTGTATGCATTGCTGTACATTCAGTAGAATGGAGTATTCTGTTAAGTAGTCTATTTAAAAAATAACAAAGTTAGATTGGGTCTTAGGTTTAACATTTATGTAATATAATTATGAGAAACATTTAAGATATACAATTTATAAGGTTCAGTTATTCAGTATTTATTTGGATTTTGGGTGAGTAAGTGATCTTTGAGAAGAGACTTGAATTTATAAACAGGTAGTGTTTCTTTTATATTTACAGGTAATGAATTCCGGATTTTAGGGCCTTTTATGTGCATTGAGTTTTTGCATAGTGTGAGATGGGCGTGAAGCTTGGGTTGTAAATGCTGCAGTGAGGAGGAGGCTGGAGGCAGTGGAGATGTAGTGTCTAAGGGCAATATGTGGTGTAAATATTATGCCGAGAATTCGTAGTGTGGAAATTCGGAGGAGGTGCAGAGTCACTAAAAGTGTTAGTCAGAGGGCTGAAGAAGGGTTGTTGAGGTGGTTTGGTAATTTAGAGAGAACGGAACAAAGTAAAATGACTTGGAGAGCGTATAAATCTTTAGGGAAAGGTAGGAAAGGTAGGGGTCGTCCATGAAATGGTGCGTGAGCATGTTAGATAGGAGTGAATGGAGACGAATGGTTTTTGGGACCTGATGAGCTGTTGGAGTGTGAGCAGGGTAATATTTCATGAAGGGATTCAGGGAAACTGGTTAGCCGGACTTTAGTCCTGGAAATGGGAAGTACAATGCCTGCACTTTAAAGGAGGGGTTTGGGATATTGGCAGTTTGTAGGGACTTCTAAACTGTCGTATCTGAGCGTCTCTGCAAAGACAGTGATTATGTATGAGTGATGGTGAAAGTGTTGAATGATGATGAAAGTATTTTTCTATCTTTGTGGGTTTTTCTTTCCTTTTGGGTTTTTCTTTCTTTTTGGGTCGCCCTGCCTCGGTGGGAAATGGCTGATGTGTTAAAAAAAATGCATATAAGACATTAATGACATTCACAGTAGCATTGATTCAGTGAAAATGACTCATTGTAAACAGACAGTTAAAGCCCTAGCATGGTACATGAGAATAAGAAGTCTTATATTATACAAAATAAAAGTATCTGGTAATTCAAAATAAAATATCATAGAGATTTTTGTATCTAGTATTATGCCTATTAGTTCTATTGTAGCTATCAAGAAAGTCCAGGATTACAATTACTGTAGCTAGCTTTGTCAAAATATCTAATGTACAATAATACATTAAAACAAGATCTTTCTTCTTTCAACAAACCGGCCGTATCCCACCGAGGCAGGGTGGCCCAAAAAGAAAAACGAAAGTCTCTCTTTTTAAATTTAGTAATTTATACAGGAGAAGGGGTTACTAGCCCCTTGCTCCTGGCATTTTAGTCGCCTCTTACAACACGCATAGCTTACGGAGGAAGAATTCTGTTCCACTTCCCCATGGAGATAAGAGGAAATAAACAAGAACAAGAATTAGTAAGAAAATAGAAGAAAACCCAGAGGGGTGTATATATACATATGCTTGTACATGTACATGTAGTGTGACCTAAGTGTAAGTAGAAGCAGCAAGACGTACCTGAAACCTTGCATGTTCATGAGGCAGAAAAATGGACACCAGCAATCCTACTATCATGTAAAACAATTACAGGCTTTCGTTTTACACTCACTTGGCAGGATGGTAGTACCTCCCTGGGCAGTTGCTGTCTACAACCTATTACCTAGGATTAAAACAAGATACTGATATAAAATACCATACTAACCATCTAAGTGTTCATGGTTAGCAGCAGTGGGAGATGCTGGGGTACTTTCCTTCTCAGATGCAGCCAGAGGTGAGTCTTGGTCAGGTGGAGTGCTGCCCTGTGTTTCCTGAATGGTAGGCAGTGCTAAAGATGTTGGTACAGGGGTAAGGTAGCCAGACAGATTAAGATGTGAATGTACTCCAGGGTCTGCATTCATGGCTCTCTGCAAAACCAATTTTATACTCAGTAACTCTATCCAGAGCTAAGAATCAAGTTATTGTACCTCTCTTTCTATAAGATAAGATAAGATAAGATTTCGTTCGGATTTTTAACCCTCGGAGGGTTAGCCACCCAGGATAACCCAAGAAAGTCAGTTCGTCATCGAGGACTGTCTAACTTATTTCCATTGGGGTCCTTAATCTTGTCCCCCAGGATGCGACCCACACCAGTCGACTAACACTCAGGTACCTATTTACTGCTAGGTGAACAGGACAATAGGTGTAAGGAAACGTGTCGGAATTTCCACCCGCCGGGAATCGAACCCGGGCCCTCCGTGTGTGAAGCGGGAGCTTTAGCCACCAGACCACCGGGCCACCACAACCAAATGCTCACAATACAGTATTTGTCTTATACCTGTGATTTTACCCTTTCATTGTTTCAAACCCTGAAATTAAAAGTACTGATAGTGTTGCAAATTTAAAAAAAAAAAGTTCTAATGAAATGATAGATAATCTTTTTCTGAAGGTAATGACACTAAAACCGTGAAATTTGATAGAAAACTTATGAAATTATGCAGACACAAAATTAGCAGTCTTGGCACAATTTGGACATCAGCTTTTTTTGCCCATTTTAAGGCCTGTTTTAAGGCAATTCCATTGCTCAATTCAAACCAATTAATTATCAGAACTACTCTATAAAGTGCACAGAGTTGGTAATTCGGCCAATTTTACACAAAAACAAATTTCAGTTTAAAAATCAAGTCCAAAATAATCACTGTAGTCATTCCAACCACTAAAGCAGCATTTCCTATGTTTATTAACCACATCCCCTCCATTTTGAATTCATCATTAGTACACAAAATATCAAAATTTTACCCTATTTCTTGACTAATAAAATGTAACCAAGACTGATTAATCATGGTTTAGGCCATCCCAATAACTGAAGTAGACCTAGTAAAAACTCTTAAAACAGACCTGGGGGTCGGACCCTACCTCTCCACAGAAAAATCACCAAAAATTGAATATTTCTGCCACTTTGAGGCATATTTCAAGCAACTTCTGGTCTGAAACCAACCAAAATCAAATTTATTTCACTAATATGTCTTCCCTTCCATCAATTAATATTAAGAAACAGCCAATAAAGATACTCTAGAAAATGCCTCAAAGTTGCTATTTTAAACCAAACACAACAGATACTGAGGCTGTCCCTTAACCAATAATGTACCTCTACAATGCTTGGACTACTGTCTATACCATGGGTATGTGGTGAATAATAAAGCTATCAAATCAATAATTTTATAAAATAATCATTAACATTCATGACCGGTAAGGTATGGTGATACCAACAGTGTATAGATAAGGACACACACATGCACAGTTCAATGAGGAAACATTTCACCAACTATAAAATTCACACTTAAAGAGAAAGGATAACCAATTACCATCAGTCTTGGAGAAGTAGTATTTGAGGTAGTCAGTCCCTCAACATGGAGGAAAGCTCAGCTTAATTTCATATCATTCAAGACCATGGAGCTGAACTCTTCTCCAGGTTGAAGGACTGACTACCTCAAATACTATTTCTCCAAGGCTGATGGACTGATTACATCATCTTCATTTCACTCCTATATCTACTGCCTCTGTATTTGACTGAAGAAGCCTACTGTGTTGGTGAAAACTTTCAACAATAAAGACACCCAACTGCTGCATATGTGCTTTAATCATCAACCTGTCAGTATTTTATACCATTTTCAAGATAAACTAATTATTCATGAAAATGACCTACATCATGATAGCAGTAACCTGTAACATCCTACAAAAATCTTAGCGAAATGCTTACTACCCAACCTGGACACTGTTATTAGACAGCACTCTAGTAAGTTAATCAAATGCTGACAGGTTCTTCACCAATCCAACCCATCACACCTCAGCTGTACTATTACTACCTCTATTACCTCAACCTTTCACAGCTTGCCGCCTGACTCCCTCCATTATATATACTTGTTTCTTAGCTGTCACTATATTAGGACTGAAGAAGCCACTTGTGGAGAAACATTTCCTCAATATATGTCTTGAGCTCTGCATGTGTTTTTATCTACATTAACTTTAAGATAAAATTTTGTTCAGATTTTTAACCCCAAAGGGTTAGCCACCCAGGATAACCCAAGAAAGGCAGTGTGTCACAGAGGGACTCAGTCTTATTTCCACTGGGGTCCTCAATCTTGTCCCCCAGGATGCGACCACACCGTAAAGTAACACCCAGGAACCTATTTGCTTGCTAAGTGAACAGGGACAGTAGGTGTAAGGAAACATGGACAGCAGGTGTCTAAAGGAAGCACGTCCTAATGTTTACAGACATACCTGGGATCAACCCCCCGACCTTAGTGTTTGAGCTGAGTGCATTAACAGTCAAGCTGCTGTGCTGGCTTCGAATTTATTAATTCTGTAATTTCTCACTGAAATCATTCCTTATATTACTCTTGTCATTTTATTAAGATACCAGTTACACAACATGCTTAACTGTATTTTTAAATATGTACATTCTCCTTCTCCACTTGATGAGTGTGTTCTGTGGCCCGTGGCCTGGTGGCAACAACTCTCGCTTCACACAGTGAGGGTCCAGGTTCGATTCCCAGCAAGGGTTGAAACACTGGGCAAGTTTCCTTACACAGGTTGTCCATGCCACTATTTATTTATTTATTTATTTATTTATTTATTTTATGTCTTTGCAAACAGTACAATGCGATTTTATATTTACAACAGTGGGTTGCAATGCAAAGAGAGCCTCTATTATGCCTGGGCATTATGGGTCAACTTAACATTATTGGCTTACAGACTACTTAACACTAAGGATTTTATCATAGTTGTACAGTAGGACAGTAATTATTTCATAGTTGAACAGTAGATTATTAATTATAAGTGAATTAAATTTGTATAAGACAAAGGATATATTCATATAGTCTAAAATGCTTTTTGTAGAAAACAATGGCTCAATTATATTCCTGTCAACAATGGATAAAAGGTTCAAAGTGATTGTTGAAGTTATGATGTGGGAGTACATAGGTGAGTATGTGTGTATTGAGTATTTAGCATTTAGTCTAGGGTGATTAAGTGGCTTTTGAGAAGAGTCTTAAACTGATTTTCAGACTGGGTTACTTTAATATCTTCTGGTAATGAATTCCATATTTTAAGGTCCTTTATGTGCATAGAGTTTTTACACAGTGTGATAAGGACACGAGGTATATCAAAAAGAGATCTGTGTCTTGTGTTGTGGTCAAGTGTCCTGTTTAAGTTGGAGAGGAGAAGTTTGAGTGGAGGGTTTATATTTGTGTGTATTATTCTGTGTATGTAGTAGGCACATGAATAAGTATGGATGTTCTTAACCCTTTGACTGTCGCGGCCGTATACATGTACATACGTCTTACGAGGTACCGTGTTTGACGTATATATACTCATAAATTCTAGCGGCTTCAAATCAAGCAGGAGAAAGCTGGTAGGCCCACATGTGAGAGAATGGGTCTGTGTGGTCAGTGTGCACCATATAAAAAAAATCCTGGAGCACGCAGCGCATAATGAGAAAAAAAAACTCCGACCGTTTTTTTAATTAAAGTGCCGACTTTGTGGTCTATTTTCGTATAGTATTTATGGTTGTATTCTCGTTTCCTTGGTCTCATTTGATAGAATGGAAAACATCTTATAGAAATAGAGGTGATTTTGATTGATTTTACTATAAAAAGAACCTAGAAATGGAGCTCAAACTAGGGGAAATGTTTGATTTTTGCCAATGTTCAAAAGTAAACAAATGATGCCATTGTCCAATAAATGTCCAACTAGCCATTCTAATATGCAGTCATGAATGGGTTGATGTTATTTATACAATTATTACAGCATTGCAGTAGTCTGCATAATAGTAAGTCTAATATTTTTTGTTTGAATAAAAATTCAAAATAGAAAGCAAGAGTAATATCAGAGGGGCCTGGAGACATAACTGATGAACAAAGAAAATGTTATTTTAGAGCCAGGAATGTCTGCATTGTTCATTCTGGACCTTATTTTGAAATTGTCATATTTTTTAGTTTTCGTGAAATTGGCCAAATTGCAAATTTCTGACCACATTATTAGGTAGTTGAAATCGGTAAATGGGCAGTCTCTTGTACTCAATCGATAGAAAAAATGGAGTTCTAAAGAAATAGCTATGAGTTTGGGCGACTGGAACAATGGAATTAGCCGAAAATAGGGCTCAAAGTGGGCGAAATCGCCGATTTGTAAACAGCGCCGAAGTCGCTAACTTCGCGAGAGCATAATTCCGTCAGTTTTCCATCAAATTTCGTTTTTTTGGTGCCATTACAATCGGGAAAAGATTCTCTATCATTTCATAAGAAAAAAATATTTTTTTTTTAAATGTTGCGACACCAGGAGACACCTCAGGATTGGGGGTTGCGACAGTCAAAGGGTTAATGGTGAGCAGATTCAGACTTTTGAAAATTGGTGGAGTGTGCTGGCAGGAGTGGGAAATTGTTATCATTCTTACTGCTGCCTTTTGCTGGGTTATGAGGGGTTTTAGGTGACTGGATGTTGTTGATCCCCATGCACAAATTCCATATGTAAGATAAGATAAGAGATAAGATAAGATTTCGTTCGGATTTTTAACCCCGAAGGGTTAGCCACCCAGGATAACCCAAGAAAGTCAGTGCGTCATCGAGGACTGTCTAACTTATTTCCATTGGGGTCCTTAATCTTGTCCCCCAGGATGCGACCCACACCAGTCGACTAACACCCAGGTACCTATTTGCTGCTAGGTGAACAGGACAACAGGTGTAAGGAAACGTGTCGAAATGTTTCCACCCGCCGGGAATCGAACCCGGGCCCTCCGTGTGTGAAGCGGGAGCTTTAGCCACCAGGCCACCGGGCCACCAAGATAAGGGTATATGAGTGTATGGTACAGTGCCAGGAGAGCTGATTGTTGCATGACAGTAGCTTTCTTTGTACTTAGCAAATCAAAATTGTAATTATACATTGTAACCTTTACAAAGAAATAAACTTTTATCAGTGATACATGTAATGGGTACTGGGTGTTAGTCGACTGGTGTGGGTCGCATCCTGGGGGACAAGATTAAGGACCCCAATGGAAATAAGTTAGACAGTCCTCGATGACGCACTGACTTTCTTGGGTTATCCTGGGTGGCTAACCCTTCGGGGTTAAAAATCCGAACGAAATCTTATCTTATCTCTTATCTTATCTTACAGGACAAAACTGACCTAATTTGCCCAAAATGCTCAGCATAACAAGGGACTTTCTATATAGTAGTATGTCACTGATGTCAGCTAGGACTGTATACCTTGTACATGTACTTGTAGAAATGAAGATATTATTATAATTATTAGGTGGCCTGGTGGCTAAAGCTCCCGCTTCACACACGGAGGGCCCGGGTTCGATTCCCGGCGGGTGGAAACATTTCGACAAGTTTCCTTACACCTGTTGTCCTGTTCACCTAGCAGCAAATAGGTATCTGGGTGTTAGTCGACTGGTGTGGGTCGCATCCTGGGGGACAAGATTAAGGACCCCAATGGAAATAAGTTACAGTCCTCGATGACGCACTGACTTTCTTGGGTTATCCTGGGTGGCTAACCCTCCGGGGTTAAAAATCCGAACGAAATCTTATATTATTATTATTATTATATAGTAAACTGAACTTCTAGAGTTTTCATTCACCTTGGGTTGTCTCTCCACAGTACCATCAGGGTGAGTATAGGTGATGTAAGAGGAGCCACAGAATGATCCAGCCTCCATGTATGCCCGCTTCTCCTCTGCCAGTCGTTGCAAGAGATCTTTCTTCTTCATCCTTGGCACTTCTAGAGGTCTCATAAGGGCACCAAAGCACTGTAAATATTAAGTGCAAATAACAATGCAAATAATATTTTTAACTCATTAGTCGTCTTTTACAACCCTGTATGAATGCTCATTGAAGAAAACATTAATTATTACTAACAAATAACAAAAAAGGCACAATACCGTGACTGGAACGAAACACACCATTGACAAAGTCACACTGTGACTTTGTCAATGGTCCAAGTCGGACCGAAACGTCGTCGTAAGCTTCTCTCTTTTATGTGCGGGTTATTTGTGTATTAATTATTACAGTACCCATTCTCTAGTGTTTTTTATTTTCAGATGAACACAATAATCACTGTTCAGTACACAGCCTCCATACACACAAGAATGTAGGTACACTGCAGAAGAATTACTCGTCCATGCTAGGCATGTTCAACTCACACCAACCTATACCCACTCATGTCCTTGTCCAACCTACATTTAAACCCTTTACCAGGCAGGGCATTACATTTATTGGCCTGCCAGAGCAGGTCAATAAATGGAACCCTTGCTCTTCCCTGGAAACCTCCTTGCTCTTCCCTGGAAACCTCCTTGCTCTTCCCTAGAAACTTCTTTGCTATCCCCGTGGAAAGAAACCCTGTGCTCTTCCCTGGAACCCTGTGCTCCCCCTGGAATCCTGTGCTCTTCCCTGGATCCCCATGCCCTTCCCTGGAACCCGTGTTCTCCCTTGGAACCCCATGCTCTTCCCTGAAACCCGTCCTATCCCCGGGAACCCAGTGCTCTTCCCTGGAACCCTGTGCTCTCCCCTGGAACCCCGTGCTCTTCCATGGATCCCCGTGCTCTTCCCTGGAACCCTGTGCTCTTTCCTGGAACCCCTGTGCTCTTCACTGGAATCACGTCCTCTCCCCTGGAGCCCCTGTGCTCTTTCCCTGGAAACCCGTGCTCTTCCCTGGAACCCCGTCCTCTCCCCTGAAACCCTGTGTTCTTACCTAGACCCCTGTCCTCTCCCCTGGAACATCGTGCTCTCCCCTGGAACCCCGTGCTCTTCCCTGAAACCCGTCCTATCCCCTGGAACCCCGTGCTCTTCCCTGGAATCTCGTGCTCTTCTCTGGAACCCCGTGCTCTCCTCTGGAACCCCATGCTATTCCCTGGAACCCCGTGCTCTTTCCTGGAGCCCCTCTGCTCTTCCCTGGAACCCTGTGCTCTCTCCTAGAGCCCTGTGCTCTTCCATGGAACCCCGTGCTCTCTCCTGGAACCCCGTGCTCTCTCCTGGAACCCTGTGCTCTCCCCTGGAACCCCGTGCTCTCCCCTGGAACCTTGTGCTCTCCCCTGGAACCCTGTGCTCTCCCCTGCAACCCCGTCCGCTTCCCTGGAACCTCGTCCTCTCCCCTGCAACCCCATGCTCTCCCCTGGAACACCTGCTCTCCCCTGGAACCCCATGCTCTTCCCTGGAACCCCATGCTCTTCCCTGGAACCCCATGTTCTCCCTGGAGCCTTGTGCTCTTCCATGGAACCTCGTCCTTTTCCCTGAAACACCATGCTCTCCCCTGGAACCCCGTCCTCTTCCCTGGAACCCCGTCCTCTTCCCTGCAGCCCCATGCTCTCCCCTGGAACCCCGTCCTCTCTCCTGGAACCCCGTCCTCTCCCCTGCAACCCCATGCTCTCCCCTGGAACCCCGTCCTCTTCCCTGAAACACCATGCTCTCCCCTGGAATCCCGTTCACTTCTCTGGAACCCCATGCTATCCCCTGGAACCCCATGCTCTCCCATGGAACCCCGCCCTCTTCCCTGAAACACCGTGCTCTCCCCTGGAATCCCGCCCTCTTCCCTGGAACCCCATGCTCTCCCCTGGAACCCCATGCTCTCCCCTGGAACCCCATGCTCTCCCCTGGAACCCCGTCCTCTCCCCTGGAACCCCGTCCTCTCCCCCTGGAACCCCATGCTCTCCCCTGGAACCCCATGCCCTCCTGTGGAACCCCATCCTCTCCCCTGGAGCCCCATGCTCTCCACTAGATCCTCGTCCTCTCCCCTGGAGCCCCATTCTCTCCCATGTCAACCTTGTTTTCATCTAACGACTGAAACATATCTGTGAATCAAGATAAATATATCATCCACAAAGCCTAATTGAAAACATTAGTTCAAATTAAAAAAAATATATGTTAAAAAATATTACAAAATACAAATATTACACACAACATTTCAAAGCGGCAGTACTGTAGCATGCACAATACAGGAGGGCCCCGCTTATACAGCAGGTTAGGCTCCAGGCTACTGCTGTAAAGTGAAACATAGCCTTTATTTTCATTTTTAAATGCATATATAAGCCTGATGACATGTTTACACTATCATATATATTCAGTGAGCAATAGAGCTAGGCCTAAAAAAATGCATACACAGTGCACACATTACTTATTTTCGTCCTTAGCTTATAGTGAATGGGAATATATTTATTGTAGGAAGTCTGAATCAATGAAGAATGGATATAACTAAAAACCGCTGTATTAGTGAAACACTAAAGCAAAGCACTGTAAAGTGGGTCTCTCTGTATTTTGGTCAGCTCAGACTAGGAATGCTGTATGACCCTTGTGGGTATAGTTCTTAGTTATGATTATAACAATAACATTAATCAGATTAGGATTAAAACTACACAGAGGTGCAGCCATGATGGAAAAGGTCTTAAGCCAAGATTTTAAGTCTCTTAAGCCAGGATTTTAATCTGGGGTAGGCTTAGGCCAGAATTTTAAGCTGGGTAGGCATGTGTCAAGATTTTAATCTTAGGGAGGCCTAATACAGGATTTCAATCTGAGGGGTCTTAGCCAGAATTTCAATCTGATGGGTCTTAGCTAGGATTTCAATCTGAGGGGTCTTAGCCAGGATTTCAATCTGATGGGTCTTAGCTAGGATTTCAATCTGATGGGTCTTAGCCAGGATTTCAATCTGATGGGTCTTAGCCAGGATTTCAATCTGAGGGGTCTTAGCCAGGATTTCAATCTGATGGGTCTTAGCTAGGATTTCAATCTGAGGGATCTTAGCCAGGATTTCAATCTGAGGGGTCTTAGCCAGGATTTCAATCTGATGGGTCTTAGCCAGGATTTCAATTTGAGGGGTCTTAGCCAGGATTTCAATCTGAGGGGTCTTAGCCAGGATTTCAATCTGAGGGGTCTTAGCCAGGATTTCAACCTGAGGGGTCTTAGCCAGGATTTCAATATGGCACACCTAAGCCAAGATTTCAATTTGGGAGGCATAATCCAGGATTTCAATCTAGGAAGAACATTTTAAGAATCATAAGATACTGAACAAATTAAGGAAATTCTTTAAAAATAAAGGATTTTCAGTATACCTGGAGTTTACCTAGAGAGAGTTTCGGGGGTCAACGCCCCCGCGGCCCGGTCTGTGACCAGGCCTCCTGGTGGATCAGCGCCTGATCAACCAGGCTGTTGCTGCTGGCTGCACGCAAACCAACGTACGAGCCACAGCCCGGCTGATCAGGAACTGACTTTAGGTGCTTGTCCAGTGCGAGCTTGAAGACTGCCAGGGGTCTGTTGATAATCCCTCTTATGTGTGCTGGGAGGCAGTTGAACAGTCTCGGGCCCCTGACACTTATTGTATGGTCTCTTAACGTGCTAGTGACACCCCTGCTTTTCATTGGGGGGATGGTGCATCGTCTGCCAAGTCTTTTGCTTTCGTAGTGAGTGATTTTCGTGTGCAAGTCGGTACTAGTCCCTCTAGGATTTTCCAGGTGTATATAATCATGTATCTCTCCCTCCTGCGTTCCAGGGAATACAGGTTTAGAAACCTCAAGCGCTCCCAGTAATTGAGGTGTTTTTATCTCCGTTATGCGCGCCTTGAAAGTTCTCTGTACATTTTCTAGGTCGGCAATTTCACCTGCCTTGAAAGGTGCTGTTAGAGTGCAGCAATATTCCAGCCTAGATAGAACAAGTGACCTGAAGAGTGTCATCATAGGCTTGGCCTCCCTATTTTGAAGGTTCTCTCATTATCCATCCTGTCATTTTTCTAGCAGATGTGATTGATACAATGTTATGGTCCTTGAAGTAAGATCCTCCGACATAATCACTCCCAGGTCTTTGACGTTGGTGTTTCGCTCTATTTTGTGGCCAGAATTTGTTTTGTATTCTGATGAAGATTTAATTTCCTCATGTTTACCATATTTGAGTAATTGAAAATTTCTCATCGTTGAACTTCATATTGTTTTCTGCAGCCCACTGAAAGATTGGTTGATGTCCGCCTGGAGCCTTGCAGTGTCTGCAATGGAAGACACTGTACATGCAGATTTGGGTGTCATCTGCAAAGGAAGACACGGTTCTGTGGCTGACATCCTTGTCTATGTCGGATATGAGGATGAGAAACAAGATGGGAGCTAGTACTGTGCCTTGTGGAACAGAGCTTTTTCACCGTAGCTGCCTCGGACTTTACTCTGTTGACGACTACTCTCTGTGTTCTGTTAGTGAGGAAATTATAGATCCATCGACCGACTTTTCCTGTTATTCCTTTAGCACGCATTTTGTGCGCTATTACGCCATGGTCACACTTGTCGAAGGCTTTTGCAAAGTCTGTATATATTACATCTGCATTCTTTTTGTCTTCTAGTGCATTTAGGACCTTGTCGTAGTGATCCAATAGTTGAGACAGACAGGAGCGACCTGTTCTAAACCCATGTTGCCCTGGGTTGTGTAACTGATGGGTTTCTAGATGGGTGGTGATCTTTCTTCTTAGGACCCTTTCAAAGATTTTTATGATATGGGATGTTAGTGCTATTGGATTCTTAAAAATATTGTGTTCTCGTGGTCACTGGTCAATATTACCGTATTTTCTGGCATATAAGGCGCGCTTTTTTTACCAAGTCTTGGAAAATAAGCCTGCGCCTTATATGCTCAAGGTGAGGGTCAAGGGTAGACTTAGTGTTACTGGAAAGTGGTGTTTGTAAAAGAACATACACTTCATTATAGTAAAAAAGTTTTAATACTCGTAATAGTCTTGCGTCTTATAAGCTGGAAAATACGATATATTGTTAAAATTGACCCCTTGAGGGAGGTTCCTCGAAGCTGGTGAGGGGCTCTTGATCTAGGGAATTGGATCTTTGCTCCAGTTCCCTGAACTGAGCCTATTTTCCTGCCATCCCACCCACTGAAAGGTGCTGTATAATCCCCATGGGTTTAACGCTCCCCCATAATAATAATAATAATAATAATAATAATAATAATAATAATAATAATAGTGAAAATTGAAAAAAATGCGAAGTATGTATATCTGGGTAGGGTTTTCCTGCCCGTGGTGCACTCAGAGATAGATAAAGGTGTGGGCTTTGAGGCGGCAACCCAGGGTCCTCTACCTGCTGGAGGGCCCCTAGGAGCTGCAGCCCAGGGTTCTCCTCTGCAGAAGGGCCTCCAGGTGCTGCAGCCCAGGATTCTCTTACTGCTGGAGGGCCTCCAGGTGCTGCAGTCCAGGGTCCTCCTCCTGCTGGAGGGCCACCAGGGGCTGCAGCCAAGGGTTCTCCTCCTGCTGAAGGGGCTGCAGCCCAGGGTCCTCTTCCTGCTGGAGGGCCTCCAGGGGCTGCAGCCCAGGGTTCTCCTCCTGCTGGAGGGCCTCCAGGTGCTAAAGTCTAGGTTCTCTTCCTGCTGGAGGGCCTCCACGTGCTAAAGCCCAGGGTCCATCTCCTGCTGGAGGGCCTCCAGCCCAGGGTCCTCCTCCTGCTGGAGGACCTCCAGGGGCTGCATCTCAGGGTCCTTCGCCTGCTGGAGGACCTCCAGGGGCTGCAGCCCAGGGTCCTCCGCCTGCTGGAGGACCTAGAAGGGTCCTCCCAGGGTCCTCTGCCTGCTGGAGGGCCTCCAAGGGATGCATCCTAGGGTCCACCTCCTGCTGGAGGGCCTCCAGGATCTGCAGCCCAGGGTCCTCCTCCTGCTGGAAGGGCTCCAGGGGCTGCAGCCCAGGGTCCTCCTCCTGCTGGAGGGCCTCCAGGAGCTGCAGCCCAAAGTCCTCCACCTGTTGGAGAGCCTCCAGGGGTTGCAGCCCAGGGTCCTCCTCCTGCTGGAGGGCCTCCAGGGGTTGCATCACAGGGTCCTCCACCTGCTGGAGGGCGTCCAGGGGCTGCAGCCAAGGGTCCTCCGCCTGCTGGAGGACCTCCAGGGGATGCATCCCAGGGTCCATCTCCTGCTGGAGGGCCTTCAGGAGCTGCAGCCCACGGTTCTCCTCCTACTGGAAGGCCTCCAGGGGCTGCAGCCCAGGGTCCTCCACCTGCTGGAGAGCCTCCAGGGGTTGCAGCCCAGGGTCCTCCACCTGCTGGAGGGCGTCCAGGGGCTGCAGCCCAGGGTCCTCCTCCTGCTGGAGGGCCTCCAGGGGTTGCATCCCAGGGTCCTCCTCCTGCTGAAGGGCCTCCAGGGGCTGCATCACAGGGTCCTCCGCCTGCTGGAGGACCTCCAGGGTTGCATCCCAGGCTCCTCCGCCTGCTGGAGGGCCTTCAGGGGCTGCATCGCAGGGTCCTCCGTCTGCTGGAGGGGCTCCAGGGGCTGCATCACAGGGTCCTCCACCTACTGGAGGAGCTCCAGGGGCTGCATCACAGGGTCCTGTGACCCCTAACAGTACCTGTAACCCAGGGATCCCTCATACCACCTGTAACCCAGGAACCCCTCACAGTACCTGTAACCCAGGGACCCCTCACTAGTACCTGTAACCCAGGGACCCCTCACAGTACCTGTAACCCAGGGGCGTCCCTCACAGTACCTGTAACCCAGGGACCTCTCACAGTACCTGTAACCCAGGGACCCCTCACAGTACCTGTAACCAAGGGACCCCTCACAGTACCTGTAATCCAGGGACCCCTCACAGTACCTGTAACCCAGGGACCCCTCACAGTACCTGTAACCCAGGGGCCCCTCACAGTACCTGTAAGCCAGGGACCTCTCACAGTACCTGTAACCCAGGGACCCCTCACAGTACCTGTAACCAAGGGACCCCTCACAGTACCTGTAATCCAGGGACCCCTCACAGTACCTGTAACCCAGGGGCCCCTCACAGTACCTGTAACCCAGGGACCTCTCACAGTACCTGTAACCCAGGGACCCCTCAGTACCTGTAACCAAGGGACCCCTCACAGTACCTGTAGCCCAGGGACCTCTCACAGTACCTGTAACCCAGGGACCCCTCACAGTACCTATAGCCCAGGGGCCCCTCACAGTACCTGTAGCCTAGGGGCCTAAAAAATGTTAATCCGGCTGTGGGTGCACTACTACTGAACATAAAAGTGAAATTCTTCAGTCAGAACTTACACAACAGTTAAGAATAATGGCAGAAATGATCAAATTTGCTCCTTTCCAGGTGAACACTGAAATAAAGTAAGTGAGGAGCGGGGGGAAGATCATAGTGCCGATACCAGAGCCACAGACAGCAATTCCTGTAGCCATGGCACGCTTGGACTCGAAGTAGTAGCCCACACAGACCACAGCTGGCAGGTAGATGAGACCAAACCCCAGTCCTGAGAACACCACCACAGTGCAACATTACACACGGATGATTACTATGACAGAAACAAAATGTTTTTATTTCTCAAATAAGGAATAATACTATATTTATATTGACCAATGAAGCCCTGAAACATACATCTTTACTATTCAAATTTGTAATCCACAACTGTTTGTAACAATACAGAAATAATATAAAATTTCAGAAAATTTTTGCATTTAATATACAATTCATACAAAAAAACAGGCCAAGTGTCTAACGACAAGTTCATTTGACAACCGGTAACTAACTCACACACACACACACACACACACACACACACACACACACACACACACACACACACACACACACACACACACACACACACACACACACACATACACTCATTCTCTCTCTCTCTCTCTCTCTCTTACTCTTTTTAACCTTGATAACAACTGTACAATACAAAAAGCTATTGTGCGATATAAATATGAGGATATGTTAAGAAATGTTTGCCCTGTTTCAGAATTTATAATAATACTTAAAAAAAACTATTCTTACCTCCTATGATTCCTTGCAAAACCATTAAATATTCAACGGAATTTGCAAATATTGTAAGAAAGAATGCGAAAGATGCGAGGAGTCCTCCCACACAACACACACAGCGACATCCAAATTTGTTGGTCAAGGCTGACACAATGGGACCTGTTGGGTAAACAAAATGTTTTTGGATCCTTTGGGTCAAACACTTCTATATGAATGGTATGCAGCACCACCAAGATGAAGAATTAGACACAAGTACGACATCTGGGTATTTTTATTTGTAGATGTTTAGCCATCCAGTGGCTTTATCATTACAAGGACAATGTGAAGACAGTAGAACTATATACAAAAGATGAGGTAATCAGTCCCTCAGCCTTGGAGTAGGTGAAGAGCACCGTAGTCTTGAAGAATCTGAATCTGGGCCACCCATGGCCCTCCAGAACTACAACTACTGATGCCAATAACAAAATCCCCCCAACAAGCACAGATTACAACCTTGTTCATATTTGCTAATGTATAGGGCCTTAAGCCATCCACCAACAACAAAATACCTTTTATTAATGGACTTCTAGAGGAGTTTAATGCAATGTTTGCAGCCTTCACAGAGATCCACACAAAAGATCACATTGACAGTGAAATATGGATAAGTGGGTACAACCTTTTTAGAAGCGACAGAAAGGACAGGCAACAAGGGGAGGGGGGAGTTTGGCCTGTATGTCAAAGAGTCCCTCATCTGCATGGAGTTGCTGAACACCACAAATGATGTGTTTGAAGTTCTATCAATAAAGATCGAGAACCAAAACCCAGTGATCGTGGTTGTGTATAAGCCACCAGATGGAACCTCCCAGCAGTTCAAGGAACAGCTACTGAAAATTGATTACTGTCTGGAAAGCCTTCCAACTTCATCCCCAAACATCTTACTGCTTGGTGACTTCAACCTAAGGCATACAAAATTGAAGAATGTAGCGAATAATGTTATAGCAGAAACAATCCCTGGAGGCAGCGCAGATGAAAGGTCACACACACACATGAGCTACTAAGTCTCTGTGATAAACACACCTTAAGCCAGCAGATTGTGGAGCCAACAAGACTAGAAAACACACTTGACCTTATCTTCACAAATTATGAGGACCTGGTAAGAGACATAACAATATCAAAAACAACTAATTCCGATCACAACCTAATCGAAGTCCAGACTTACATGCACAGGGGTCCTGCTCATCAAAATGCATGTACCTGTGAAGGTGTCTTCATAAAGTACAACTTCAATGACAAGAACATCAACTGGGACCAGGTAAACCATGTCTTAAATGAAACATGTTGGGAAGATATCTTAAATAACATTGATCCAAACCAGTGCCTTGAAAGGATCAACCTCCTGGCAGCTGAAGCATGTTCTAGGCTTATTCCCCTAAGAAAGAAGAAGAGCAGGAGTAAACTGGAGAGAGAAAGATGCTCCCTCTACAGAAGATGACGAAGAATCACTGAGCTCCTCAGGAACGCTAGAATATCTGATACATGGAAGGAGGAGCTGACCAGAGAAGTGGAAACTATCGAACTTAAGTTAAAGAACTCTTACAGGAACCAGGAGAGACAGGAGGAGCTTAAAGCTATTAGTGAAAATGAAAGAAATTCGAAATACTTCTTTTCATATGCCAAAAACAAGGCAAATGCCACATCTAGTATCGGGCCCTTACTCAGACATGATGAGACTTACACAGATGACAACAAGGAAATGAGTGAAATATTGAAATCCCAGTACGACTCTTTGTTTAGTGAGCCACTAATCGGTCTGAGGATCGACGACCCAAATAGACTTTGAAAAAGCCATTAACAACATGCCCATGCACTCAGCCCCAGGCCCAGACTCGTGGAACTCTGTGTTCATTAAGAACTGCAAGAAACCCCTTTTGCATGCCCTAAGTATACTATGGAGAAGGAACTTGGACATGGGTGAAATTCCACAGTCACTTGAAACAACGGATATAGCCCCACTCCATTAAGGTGGCAGCAAAGCATTAGCTAAGAACTATAGACCAATAGCTCTAACGTCCCACGTCATAAAAATCTTTGAAAGAGTGCTAAGAAGCAGGATTGCAAACCACCTGGATTCTCAGAAACTGCACAATCCAGGGCAACATGGGGTCAGGGCAGGTCGCTCCTGCCTCTCACAACTACTGGATCACTCTGATATGGCCTTGGATGCACTGAAAGAAAATCACAATGCAGATCTAATATACACAGACTTTGCAAAAGCGTTTGACAAGCGTATGGCATAATAGCGCACAAAATACGTGCTAAAGGAATAACTGGCAAAGTGGGGAGATGGATCTTCAACTTCCTAACCAATTGAACACAAAGAGTAGTGGTCAACAGAGTTAAATCGGAGGCTGCCATAGTGAAGAGCTCTGTTCCACAAGGCAAAGTACTCGCCCCCATCCTGTTCCTCATCCTCAAATCAGACATAGACAGAGCTGTAACCCACAGCACATTATCATCCTTTGCAGACGATACTAGGATCTGCATGAGGCTGTCAGCTATTGAGGACACGGTTAACCTCCAAGAAGATATAAACAAAGTTTTCCAATGGGCAACGGAAAACAATATGATGTTCAATGAGGTCAATTCCAACTACTCCGTTATGGAAAACTGAAGAGGATAACTAGAACAGAGTATACTACAAACTCTGGCCATACAATACAGCGGAAAAATAATGTAAGGGACCTGGGAGTAGTAATGTCTGAGGATCTCACTTTCAAGGATCACAACAGTGCCACGATCACAAGTGCTAAGAAAATGATAGGATGGATAATGAGAACATTCAAAACGAGAGATGCCAAGCCAATGATGATCCTTTTCAAACCACTTTTTCTCTCTAGGCTGGAACATTGCTGTACATTAACATCTCCGTTCAAAGCAGGTGAAATTGCAGATCTAGAGAGTGTACAGAGAACCTTTACTGCACGCATAAGTTCTGTCAAGCCCCTTAACTACTGGGAACGCTTGGAAGCACTTGACTTGTACTCGTTGGAACGCAGGAGAGAGAGATATATCATAATCTACACTTGGAAAATCCTGGAAGAAATGGTCCCGAATCTGCACACAGAAATCATTCCTTATGAACGTAAAAGACTGGGCAGGCGATGAAAAATACCCCCAATTAAAAGCAGGGGCGCCATTGTTACACTAAGAGAAAACACCATAAGTGTCCGGGGCCCAAGACTGTTCGACTGCCTCCCACCAAGCATAAGGGAAATTACCAAAAAAAAGCCTGGTTGCCTTCAAGAGGGAGCTGGACAGATACGTAAAGTCAGTGCCAGATCAGCCGGGCTGTGGTTCGTACGTTGGACTGCGTGCGGCCAGCAGTAACAGCCTGGTTGATCAGGCCCTGATCCACTGGGAGGCCTGGTCGTGGACCGGGCCGCAGGGGCGTTGATCCCCGGAATAACGTCCAGGTAGACTCCAAGTAAAGCTTGTCACTTATATACCAAGCTTCATGCCTGTGCTTCAGATTCCTCAAGACTACGGCGCTCTTCACCAACTCCAAGACTGAGGGACTCATTACTTCATCTTTTGTATATACAGTTCTATATTCTTCACATTATATCCTTGAATTGTATTGATAAAGCCACTGGATGGTGAAACGTCTACAAATATAGATAAGATAAGATAAGATTTCGTTCGGATTTTTAACCTCGGAGGGTAAGCCACCCAGAATAACCCAGGAAAGTCAGTGCGTCATCGAGGACTAACTTATTTCCACTGGGGTCCTTAATCATGTCCCCCAGGATGCCACCCACACCAGTCGACTAACACCCAGGTACCTATTTGCTGCTAGGTGAACAGGACAACAGGTGTAAGGAAACTTGTCGAAATGTTTCCACCCGCCGGGAATCGAACCCGGGCCCTCCGTGTGTGAAGCGGGAGCTTTAAGCCACCAGGCTCTGTGGCCTGGTAGTCAAACATTTGTTGATGGAGAGAGTTTAAATAATATACGTAATGTTGTGTTTGTGTTTATACACACGTCTAATTTATGAAGAAAGTTTGTATGACATACATAACAATGTGTTTTCCTTTTATACATTGATGTATAAAAGTCCACAGAAGTTTATTAATTTTTTAATAACCTATGCATATTTGTGTCTGGTCTCATCCATCAGCATGTTACATACGAATCTCAGAGTGTTTAGAGTGGCTCTGTCGGCAACGCATTTGCCTCACGCACTGAGTGTCCGTGGTTCAATCCCTGACATAATAATAATAGTAATAATAATCTTTATTTCTACAAGTACATATACAATGGATACAGGCCTAGCTGACATCAATGACATACTACTTGTTATGCTGAGCATTTCCCGCAAATTAGAACATAGAACATAAGAAAGGAGGATCACTGCAGGAGGCCTGTTGGCCCATACTAGGCAAGTCCTTTACAATCCATCCCACTAACAAAACATTTGACCAACCCAATTTTAATGCTACCCAAGAAATAATCTCTGATAACTCTATCTACTCATTTGCAAGTCCCAATCAGATCCAACCCCTCTCACTCATGTATTTATCCAACCTAAATTTGAAACTACCCAAAGTCCTAGCCTCAATAACCCAACTAGGTAGATTGTTCCACTCATCAACTACCCTATTTCCAAACCAATACTTTCCTATGTCCTTTCTAAATCTAAACTTGTCTAATTTAAATCCATTACTGCAGGTTCTCTATTGGAGAGATATCCTCAAGACCTTGTTATCCCCTTTATTAATACCCATCTTCCACTTATACACTTCGATCATGTCTCCCCTCATTCTTCGTCTAACAAGTGAATGTAATTTAAGAATCTTCAATCTTTTTTCATAAGGAAGATTTCTAATGCTATGTATTAATTTAGTCATCCTACGCTGAATGTTTTCTAACGAATTTATGTTCATTCTGTAATACGGAGACCAGAACTGAGCTGCATAATCTAGGTGAGGCCTTACTAATGATGTATAAAGCTGCAGTATGACCTCTGGACTTCTGTTGCTTAAACTTCTTGATATAAATCCCAGTAATCTATTTGCCTTATTACGTACGCTTACGCATTGCTGTCTTGGTTTAAGGTTGCTGCTTACAATAACCCCCAAGTCCTTTTCGCAATCTGTATGGCTAAATTCTACATAATTTA